TAGCAAAGCAGAAACATCTTTGTGCACAAGCCCATGGCAGCATAAGGGATTCCAGACCTGGTTGTGATTTCCAGCCCAACAGGTCATTTAGTGATGATATATCCAGGCTCCTGGCAGCACAGCAGGGTCTGCGAGGGAGCTGAGCACAGATCAGCGCGCCTTACCAAACAGCAATACACATGGCCGCCTGCCTCAGGGGGCCCTAAGGTGGACAGCTCTTGGGCCCTTCATGGCATTTCTGGTAGTGTTTAACACCCCCTGGAATGTGCCACCCAAGGCATAGGTCTTGTGAGACTCATGGTAAATAGAGCCACGCTAGTACCCTGCAGAGAACACTGAAACAATGCTCCCGGCAGGGTCTGACCTTAGTGGGCTGGCCTTGCAAGATTAGCAGGCAGCCTGGTATGCTTTTATGCCAGACTGATGAGCCAGCAATTCAGATGGGTCTGCAATTAAATCAATGATATGGTCTGTTTGCGGTTTTTTTTTGTTTTATTTTCTTGATAGTATTTACTTACAAAACTTTATAAACAAAAAGTAGAAAATCTGATTCTTCACTTGCTGGAAAGATTTGAGAAGAGCCAGTGAGAAAGTAAGGATGTTGTGCACACAGGTAACATGGACTAAACAGCGAATAATAATTATACAGTGACCAAATATTATAGAGATCAGTCATGATTAAGAAAGGGATAACATACATGGGGGAGAGATTCTGAAAAGCATAGAGAAAAAAAAAAAAAATGAAGTTGGAGGACACAGCATGGTAAACTGCTTCTAGATTTGCTTTAGATCACATGTCAATGCAAAAGGATGAAAAGAAACAGGATTTCCAAGTGACATTAATTGTTGGCATTGTGTAGAAAGCGGGTGGAGTTAGTGATAGCAGATTGAGGATTCTCTACGCTCCATCTTCTCAGACTCTGGATTATCCAACCAACCACAGGACAACCAGAACAGCTATTCCAGTGACTGCAGACAGCCTGGGGACGACGGCAGAGTTACAGAAGTCAGTGAAACAGCAGTGGGCAGTTGTTTTGACATTTGCACCAAGAAAAGTTTTAGACACTTCAGTTGCACACTCAACTGGGGTTGCACAACCTCTCTTCTTTAGAGACACTCCCACTGAAATAGAGACAGTTTAAATTTATTACAATACATCAAATATAGTGTCAAAGTGAACATTCCTTAGGGCTGCTCTCGGAAACCCTCACTGATTGGTTCCTAGGTGGCATTCTTAACATGGAAGTTGCCCTCCCTTTCCATCATGACCAAGATTTCAACAGTAATGTATGATCACCTTTATATGCTTCCCTAATTTAATGATTAATTTCAGCTACATATTTACAGGCACATTTATCCTTTTCATAGATTTTCAGTTTGTATTTATCAGCTCAACTGAGGTATTTTGGAGGATCTTAGTGGATATACCCCACTGGCGGCTAATCAAGGATCATGCTGACTGGACGAAAGAGACCACCCCAGCTCTCCTGATGATCCCGGGAATGGCTGTCAGGTTTATATTGATGGATCTCTTAAACTAGGAGGTTCTCAGACCACTTGAACTCTTGATAACTTGTAAATATTTCAGCCTCTGATTTGGGGGATACTTATACCATTTCTGTTGGAAGTTCTCCTACATGGTGGAGCATAGTGGGCCATTTATTAATTTTTTTTTTATTGCTGGAGTAAAGGGCGGAGTATGTGCCGGATGACAAATATGTAGGGACAAGTTTGTGAACTTTATTCCTTTTACAGAATTTCGGTTACTAGATAGCAACACTTAACTGTTGAGTGACATCTAGAGGCTCATTGGTAACATTGTTATCCACATACTCTAACCCCTTAAGGACACATGACATGATTCCCTTTTATTCCAGAAGTTTGGTCCTTAAGGGTTAAGGCGTTAAACAAGATACTTTTAGGATAGTCTGCTTATATTTAGTATTCGCTTCAGGCGATAAATTTAAAAATTTTATTTTTTCATTTGAATATTACCATTACTATTTTTTTGTGCACTATTGTGATAGTATCCCTACAGGAGGAAACCATTTTTAACTTTAGCAATACAAGTTAATACGTATCTCACCACTACCTTTTTTCGCTTTGTACACAGTTAAGGGCTAAACCCCTTCCTCTTGTGTGGTGGAACATTCTATGCAACTATTACTATAAATCAAATCGTGACGGACAAGAAATACCATATATATAAAAAATATAATTCCTGCACTCCAACCTTACAAGTGTATAAATACCTGGTGCTCTGGTTGCAAATTTAAATAGTCCAAAAAGTTACCGGCACTCACGGTTTTCTCAATTAGTATTTCTTTATTCCAAAATAGATATCGACGTTTCAGCTCCTCAATGAGCTTTCATCAGGACATAAAACTTTTATGTCCTGATGAAAGCTCATTGAGGAGCTGAAACGTCGATATCTATTTTGGAATAAAGAAATACTAATTGAGAAAACCGTGAGTGCCGGTAACTTTTTGGAACACACACACACACACACACACACACACCTCTAATGAAAGAACAGAAAGCAGATATTCCTTACCAATTGTGGAGGTATAGGTTATGCACGACTGCATAAGTCCACAGACCGCTTTATATTTTATAAGACAGGTTCCATAGTCACATTGGAAGCATTCTAATGAATGACCTGGAAGACAAATAGAGGTTAAACATTACTGTATTATGGCGGTAGACAGGAGGGATCACCAATTACAATTAACCAATAAAAGGATCAGGATACATTGTTTCCTTACAGCACAGCTCCAACATACAGAAAGCAGAAGGCTACTCTGTCACTCCGGTATGACAGTTCATAAAAATCACAAAATCCCACCCACTACCAACCTCCAATGGCTGCATGAACCCCTTAGAAATAGGTTTTGTCTCCCAAATTGACCTGTAAAAAGTTCAGTTAGTAAAAAATGAATAAAAAATTAAAAACCACGCACCTCTCTCTTTCATGGCAAAGATAATCAACTCTTTAAAAAGGGACACTCCAATTGCCAAGATACAAGAAATTAAAAAGGCACTGTTTGGAAGATAACTACTATAAAAGTGCACGCATTTATAATTTTTTTTTCCCCTTGGGAGGATATTTTAGGACACCTTTTAAAAAACCAATTAGACCCAGAATCTTCAGGGGAACAACTTGAAACATGCCATACAAGAGAAAGAGTATTTGTAGTTCTTCTAGAGGGTGGAGTGAGTGTATATCTAGGGATTGTACAGTGTTACAGGAGCTGTAATGTGTGTAGTTTGTGTGAACAGGGCAATTTGTGTTTGTATATTGTCTATAGTTTGAGTCTAGAAGATAGTGTATGTGATGTAGTGTGTATCTAGGGGCTGTAGTCTTCGTATAAGCGTAGCTAATGTTTAGGTGTATTGACTGAAGTGTGTATGGGGCTGCAGTGAGTTTGCATTAGGGCAGCTATGTGTGTGTATAAGGGGCTTTAGTATGTATTTATTGGGCTGTTGTGTATAGGAGCATAAGGGCTCAGGCTGTAGAGGAAAACAATTAAAATAAAAAATGTTTTATGGAGTTTAAAGACTATTAGCACATCACATGTCTTACACTGCCCTTCTTCCCTCCTACTGTCCCCCAATTTAATACACTCCCTCAATTTCATAAACTGCCCTTCCTCCCTCCATCTCCCCCAATTCAATACACTGCCCCCCCCCCTCCTCCACCAATTCAATACACTGCCCTTCCTAACCCCCATTGCCTAATTGAATACATCACACAACAATGACCAGTTGTTTTATCAGATCCTCCAGTTCCACAATCTTCAGTGCTCTAGCAGGGTATACTGCAAGCAAGAGGAAGGGGGAGTGGCTGGCTGCGTTCACTGTAGGGCCGCCGCGCAGCTACCGGATATGACATCACACAGTGTATGTGCATACCCGGCGGCAGGCGCGGACAGAGGTTTTGAGCTCTTGTGGCCCCAGGGCAGGCGGCCTACCGGGATGTAGATAAAGTCTTTCAAAGATAGAAATATTAAACACTGGCAAGCATGCACTAGCTATGGGAATTGGACATTGAGTGCATATAGCAATTCCCAATTCTGCCCAACCAGAGACTCAAACCTCCCACACACGTTTTATACCCAGTTAAATTGGTTTAAAGTAATTTCCTTTGGTAAAATATATGCAGGAGTTTGTATTGTATATCCCCATGTACATTGGAATGTAGGGCATCATCGGTATGGTATAGAAGGATAGAGCAAACAAACAAGTGATTGTAATAGAATTGATACACACACTACATTCTCAACTGTATTGGATTGAAAAAAACACAGATCCAGCTTACAATTCATTGTGCTACAATGGTGTTGCTAGCTTCCAATAATACGAGAGGCCTGAACGCAAAGCAAGACTTTATTATGTACCCTCTATTTCCAGAATTCCAGCCCCTCAGCCAGGTATTCCATAACATTCTCTTGAAAGTATCTTAAAGGGACACTATAGTCACCAAAACAACGGTAGCTTAATGAAGCAGTTTTGGTGTATAGATCATGTCTCTGCTATGTTTATGAAAAAATGGGTTAAGCCTTCCCCTATTTCCTCTAGCGGCTGTCGCATTGACAGCAGCTAGAGGCGCTTGCGTGCTTCTCACTGTGAGAGCACGCCAGCGTCCATAGGAAAGCATTATGAATGCTTTCCTATGTGACCGGCTGAATGCGCGCGGCAAGCGCCGCGCGTGCGCATTCAGCCGACGAGAGAGAGAGAGAGAGAGAGAGAGAGAGAGAGAGAGAGAGAGAGAGAGAGAGAGAGAGAGAGACTACTAATCTCCTCATCCCATCTCATTAGTTTCCTACTTACCTTTCTAGATCGTATAGAGCACCCCCCAGTAACACCTCTGCTGTGCTACATCATAACATAGCATTAGATCACATACACAGTTTCCCATTCATTCGTTTCACCTGACTGGAAGCTCAAGAGGACAAAAAATAAAACTGTTATCATAGTCTTCATGTTTCCTTGCCTTCCTCCCGGATATTATTGCAGGCTCTTTTCTCACTAGCCCAGGTGATTGTCTTTTAAAGGAAGGTGATTTGGCTCCCTCCATTGGTGGTCAATTATTTGCCTAATCACAGCTTGTCCACCTGATAAAGCCTTTAGTAAACACTCTCCCTGTGTGGGTCAGCTCCCAGCCTGTAACAGGGAGGATGCTTGCAAGTCACAGTTTATTCATATCGTGGAAATCATATAACTCGACTATAGGACAGGCCTGGTGCAGCAAGCTAAGCCTTAAAGGACCACTATAGGCACCCAGACCACTTCAGCTTAATGAAGTAGTCTGGGTGCCAGGTCCAGCTAGGGTTAACCCTTTTTTTTTTATAAACATAGCAGTTTCACATAAACTGCTATGTTTATAATAGGGTTAATCCAGCCTCTAGTGGCTGTCTCTTGCGTGCTTCTCACTGTGATTATAAATGCTTTCCTATGAGACTGGCTGAATGAGCGTGCAGCTCTTGCCGCGCATGCGCATTCAGCCGAAGAGGAGGAGAGGAGGCGGAGAGGAGAAGAAGAGCTCCCCGCCCGGCACTGGAGAAAGAGGTAAGTTTAACCCCTTCCTCTCCTCAGGGCCCAGCAGGAGGGGGTCCCTGAAGGTGGGGGCTCTATAGTGGTCCTTTAACTATTTCTCATTTTCCTACACAGATAAATACATTGTAATTTCCAGATAGACAACCAAGCCTATGGGCATCACGGCTGGTATTATAATGACACACATGGAGTAGAAAAGTAATCCAGCTTGACAAAGGCCCTAAGGGGTTGAAACGTTGCATTTTGGTTCTTGGGTCCAATACTGTGACGAAGTGCCCTTCGCCACTCATGCCTGGAGAGGACTGCTTGCCCGCCTCTTGCCCTGTGACTATGGCCCCTGGGATGTATTGCCCTTTAAAGACATGATTTGGGCATAATGGATTTGTGTTGTGCTGCTGCTGGCCCTTTAAGAACCATCTGGGGACATACTGTGGAGTTACTGGGTGGACACCATTTCCTGTATCAGAAGCACATGGTGAGAACAATGGATGGCGGCCATTTTAACTCACAGACACTGTTTGGACTTTTCAACACGGTGCCATCTCGCCAGTATTTGGTGCACAGAGATATCGTGCAGTGGTTTTGGACTATACAGCAGGGGACACATTATACAGTGGATGTTTTTCATTTAGCCTGTATATGTTCTGCAGAATCTGCATTAAACTGTATTTTCCAAAGTACTGAACGGATCTGGGTGAATTTTGGATATGTGGTTCAACCAGATCCCCCGGTTCCAAGGATATACTTTTTATGGGGTTATTGCATGTTTTGGGGTCCCTGTGTGTTTTATGAAACTGTATTATTTCTGGCCAGCAGATAATTGAGCTTTGTGTATTGTAGAAACTCAATTATCTAGCCTGGCCCAGAGGAGGAGTTTTGTGTTGCATAAATTGTGAGTTCTGTGTGCCAGTAAATCAGTCTTGTTCCAGCATTAAGCCTTGGCTCATGTTTGGGGGATTGGAGAAATACACTCTGGGGATTGCTATAATCACTATACTCCCCAGGGTATGATCACTAAGTTCTGCTAAGAGCTTGTTCCTGTTCCTGCTCTCTGGGGAAAAGAGAGGTTCACCCACTGGAAGCTGGATCCTGGCCTTGGGTCCAGGGTGGGTGGAGACAGCAGAGACCCCGGCGCAGTTGCATCGCTGGAAGTGGGGTCTGCAGTGCTGATGGTGTCGGTTGGAGTGCTTGAAGTCCTCAGCGAGCACTAGGAGCATCGATTGGCGGAGGTACTCAGTCGGAGTGCCAGCGTTCCGTCACAAATACAATTGCCTATTCTTTGGAACATTTTGGAGTGCCTGGATTACTTTTCTACTAATATATGCTATATTTGGTCTCTTTGGTAATGGGACTGATCCAAGAGCACCCTAGGATTCCAGGGCGAAGGGCTGAGTGCAGTTCCACAACTTGTCTACACATGGAATAGAGACATACATGTTATAGAAAGAGGGAGTCTGCATTTCAATGTATTCACAGTCCCAAAGCAACAAAATTTAAATACCAGGTTTTCTGTTTTCCCACTAGGTAAGGTTTGTCCGAAATCCATTGTGTTTGATAAATATGCAAGTTCTGTATTTTATATAAAAATGGTATTGATTTCAAACCAGACGGCAAATCCATGCAACAGAATGGAGCTTATTCAGTCTGAGCACATTGCGGCCAGATTTCGCTTTAGTGAATATGAAACTGAGAACCGGCTTGAAATTTGGTCATTTCCACAAAATCTGGCCATAATTCTGTGATTAAACTTTTCTAGCTAACCCAGAGCCGGAATTGCTAAATGCAGACATCGTGCAACAGTGTGAATGGATTTTTGGCTGATTTAGACTGGGGGCATTCAAACTTTATTAAATAACCCTGCCAGGTTACCCAGGCTACTGGGAGATGAGCTAAGTCAATGGTCAGAGATCATGGCAGGTTAACCAACAGAGCAAGGTAAGCATGCATTCAATAGGTAAAAACTTAAGGGGACTGTCAGTTCTCTGGAAATGATGCTACTGCATAAAACATTGAACATCACATGATGTGTTTTTCCAGGTGGTTTCTTTGTTTTCTTTCAAAGGTAGGTTAACCCCTTAAGGACTGGACTGTTTTTGTGATGTTGTACATTTGCGACCAGGCGTCTTTTTACACTTTTGTGGTGTTTGTGTTTAGCTGTAATTTTTCGCTCTCATTTACTGTTCCTATACAAATTATATTTTTTTTTTTTTTTCAAGACAAAAAGAGGCTTTTACACATTTATATAATCTCATGTAATTTAATTTTAAAAAACCACAATATGATGAAAGATTGAAAAAAATACATGGTTTTTTTTACTTGAAAAATCTCTCATCTACAAAAGCGAATAAAAAAAACTGCTAAATAGATTAAAAATTTTGTCCTGAGTTTTAAAATACCCAGTGTTTACATGCTTTTTTTTGCAAGTTATAGGGCTATAGGTACAAGTAGGATATTGCGGTTTCAAAACACATTTTTTCAAATGTATCAATAATGACATTGTAACACTATTATCTGTCAAATCTCTGAATAACACCCCACATGTACATTTTTTTTTTTAACGTAGACAACCCAGGGTATTCAATATGGGGTATGTCCAGTCTTTAGTAGCCACCTAGTCGCAAACACTGGCCAAAGTTAGCGTTCATATTGGTTTGTGTGTGAAAAAAGTAATTTTTGGGCAGTGTTTGTGACTAAGTGGTTTCTAAAAAAAAAAAAGACTGGACATACCCCATTTGCAATACCTTGGGTTGTCTTATTTTGCAAATGGTATGTCATCATGGGGGTAATTCTCATTCCTGGGCTACCATACGCTCTCAAAAGGCAACATAACCAACCTGGCCTTTAATATAAAAAATATTTGACCCTGTAACAAAAATGCTATAAAATCTGTACATATGGGGGGGTTATTGTTATACTCGGGCGACTTTGAACACAGTGTTTCAAAAACGTATCAATTAGATCAGTAAAAGTGCTGTTTGAGTGTGAAAAATGCGAAGTCACGTTCACTGACAAAATCACTGATATGTTTCGGTTTTAAATCACTAATTTGTGTTCAGCAAAGTCTCACACGTAAAATGCCCCCCCTCCCCCCCCGCCATACAGGTTTTAGGGTGTCAGAAAGTTACAGGGTAAAATACAGTTCTAGCAAGTTAAATTCTCTGGACTTTCAGCCTGGGTTGGCAGGCAGGTCCCTCAAATTGCAATTAAAGTTACTTAATTATGTAAAAGTTACATAAATACACATGTAGAATTAAATATATATGCATATTTATATAATTTTGTATATGGACATGTATATTTCATGCTAAGTGTATTTTTATATATATTTCATGCTAAGTGTAGTTTATATATTTTAATATCAAAACAGTTACATTTAAAATCTATGAAATTTTATAATATATACACTATAGTTGTGTAATTTAATAAGTGTATTAATATAAGTACATAATATAAAAACCACACTTAGTATAACATCTAGATATAATATGTCTATATATAAAATTTTTTTTTTTTTTTTTTTAAATGATTTTACACTAGCAGTGAGACTGCCTGTCAACACAGGCAGTCCCCCTGCAGGCAGACATATGATACCTATTGTGACCATGTAATCGTGGTGTTGAGCAGTCACATGGCCACAGGGGTCCTAATCCACCGTGGGGAGACTGTCTGGGCTGCAGACAGTCTCCCCACACCGGGAGAACCGCCGATCGCCATCGTTCCCTCAGGTAAGTACATCTGACCGTTAGGACTGTTCAGGACTGTCACCAGTTGGCAACACAAAAAGGCCGATGACTGTCCTGAACCATTCTAGGTTGTTAATCACATCACAATCTAGTTTAGTGCAGGAAAAGCCAGGGTATACAGCAAGACTGATCCTAGCTGCATAGGTGACACTATTAACACAGCCTTGTGCAAACAAGCTTACAATCTATGATAATTTGAGGTAGTTGAGTGTCTTGACCAAGGACTTACTGGTTGGGTGGTCAAAATCTGTGTGTCCCAGTTCTATATTTAGAATAGACTAATTGTCTGATACTTTGGAGGGGTGGATGTGTAGGCATGAGTTAGAGAGATGTTGATGGGACATGCAGGGGGTGTAGCATGGTTGGAGAGACACATGGGAGAGCTATTAAATAAAAAAAATCCTATATGTAGAACATTTGCATTGGAAAGGGCTTGTGCCCAAAATGTCTGCCTTTGTCCTTCAATTAATATACTGGTATCACAGAACTCATTTCCTCTCCTATTTTGCCCCAGCCCATGTGTCGCATTCCCACAGTTGACTACCCCCAGTGGGGTGTGTCTTTACCCCTTTCCACTACATGTCTGCTCACCTCACTGCTTTGTAGCATGGCCGAGCACAGACCAGGGTAGAGGCACTTCTATAAAGTCCATGGTCTGACAGGAAGCAGTTCAGCACTTCCTGCCAGACCAGGCTAGGTTACTGAAGCCCCTCTTCCTGGTCAGGAGGATCTTGCACCTGAGACCGGTGAGCCCTAAGGCAGCCACCTTATGGTGGCACCAGCCCTGTAAATGGTAGCCAGTTTCCTTTTGAAATATATTTGCTAGCAATATATTAGTCAATTTAATAGCAAGACACCATCTGATTTACATACAAAGTTTTATTTAAATAAAAAAAAAAAAAAAGTTACACAAAACTGGAAAAGTCAGGTTGTTTATTTCCTACAAAGATGTGAGAAGAGCCAGGGAGAAAGTGTTCTTTACAGACCGGAAACATGGGTCTAAGCAGTGACTGGTATTTGTACAGAGATCTGTCGTGATTAAGGGATACCATACATGGGAGAGAGTCTGAAAAGCAAAGTTAAGTGAAGCTAGGAGAGGACACAGCATGGTAAACTGGTTCTGGATTGAATTTATGACAGATTGACCACAGTCCAATGCAAAGGATTCTGAGAAACATGTCCAAGCCACAGCCAGTGCAGAGACAGATGAATGGTTGTCGTTTTGCAGAAGGCAGAGCTTTGAGGTACGGGGCTCTGATAGACAGCAGTTGTAGTTTTGCTTTCCTCTATATACATACTGGATCTCTTCTCAGACTCAGGACAGTTTGAACAACCACAGGGCAACCAGAACAGCTATTCCAGTGACAGCAGATAGCCAGGGGGTAATGGCAGAGTTACAGAGGTCAGAGTCACAGCAAAAATGTCTAGTTTTCATGATTGCGCTGACATTTGTCTCAGAGTCATCCACATCACACTCAGTTGGATTTACACAACCTTTCTTCTTCATGGACAATCCAGCTGAAATAAAAAAAAAAAATTTAAAAAAAAAAAGTGTATTCCTGACCCCATAGCGTTAAACATGTTAACTGGCTGGCCCCATTCCAATGCTGTAAAACTCACCATTAGTCCAGCATCACATGGGTCTGCTGGCACTGGCGCCACCATGTTGGTGGACATCAGAATTTAGGCTTTCAGCCAATCCTATGCCTTCACCATAGGAAAGCATTGGATTGACTGAGATCATCCATTCTGATGATCTCAAAAGGAGGTTGGGCTGAGCCAAATGCTGCACCATACCAATCTCTGAGATGCAGCACTGAGCCAGTAAGAACTTCTAACAGCCATCTAAGAAGTGGCCACTGGAGGCGTCCCTTGGCTGTAATGTAACCCTTGCCTTTATTCTGAAAATACAGAGTGTGCAACAAAAGCCAACAGGGACTGACTCACTTTAAGCTGTAATTGTTCTGGGGACTATAGTGTCCCTTTAATCTCCTGCATTTTACAATATATTAAATGGAACCCTCCAGGATTGATTTATTTGAGGCACCCGTAACATGAAAGTTGCCTCCCTTTCCACCATTACAAGATTATACAAATATATACATAACTAGTAAAAACAGGAGACCGTATTCTGTACCAGCTGTGTAGGTATAGGAAATACATCTCTCTAGAAGTCCACATGACACAGTCGATGGTATTAGACAGAATCCAGTTGTACAGCTATAGCAGTCCAGTGAGTGACCTGGAATAAGATACAGGCTAAACATTACTGAATCATGGAGTCAGACAGGTTATTACAGAGACATTTACACTAAACGATAAGATAAATTGATTCCTTACAGCACCGCTCCAACATACAGGAGGCTATTTTGTCATTCATTCTGATGTAGTGTAAAAAAATAAATAAACCACAACCCACTACTAACTTCCAGTTATTTGTTTACCCCTAAAAAGTCTAGGCATTACCTTGGCACGAGTGTCTCCCCCAAACTGAATTGTGAAGTGGAGAAGGGTTTCAGTTACTAAAGAGTGCCATCGATTGTCTCCCACACCCAGATAGTGGAGGGACATTGAGGGGAAGCAACAAAACAGTTACACCCCAGACAAAAAAGGTTTAATTATGCATTTTTCCCCTGAGAGTAGATTTAAAAACCCTGCAGATCTCTTTTCCACTCATTACAAGCCCTCCCCTTTCCCATCCAATTACGGAGGCTGTTCAATCAGATTTTCCAATGCAGCTCAATGAGAAGTCTTAGCAAGGCAGGTGCTCTGAGCAATTGCTGCCGAAAGTGTAACACATTAGCGTCAGGAATGCAGCCATGTTTAGGCAACAACAAAAAATAAATAAAATAAAAAATAAAACCCTCACCTGTTTTACAGCAGTGCACTGGTCTCACCAAAGCTGACCCTGCCTCTATAGAAGAGATCTTGAATCTCAACATCAGCCAATTTAGTGTTGTCCCATAGGAAAGCATTGGGAGGCTATTGTGCATGCGCAGCAATGTGCTGCACTAATCAGCATCCCCTCAGATGCATCACTATGGGAAACATTCAGAGTTTCCATGCAAAGCGAAGAGACGCTGAACATAGGTGCTGCACACTGTAAGTGAATGTGAAAGCAGCTCTAGAGGCGGAGTGACTGCCACTGGAGGCGTAACCAGCCAGCAATGTAAACACTGCATTAGGCTGTAGGGGTTCTGGTGACTAGAATGTCCCTTATAGCGCCACTAAGGAAACACTAACCAACCGGAGAGTAACAGCCAGAGGGGTGTAATTACAACGCTTCCGATTTGTGTAAAAAAAATAAATAAATAAAAAAAATAAAAAAATAAAAAATAAAAAACACACCCCACACAAACCACAAAGTGTGAATTCAGAGAGTTTAGAGTCAGGGACAGAAGCATAATATCTGTCCCCAACGCTAAGCTTTATATGAATACACACTAACTCTGAATGGTAAATGAATTGTGATTACAAATTATCCACAGATCCAGCTTTCCATTCACTGAGCTACATGGTATTGCTAACTTCCACAGATAGTGGTGTTTTACTCAAAGCAAAATTCCATCTTCTGTAACCTCATTCCCAAAATTCCAGCTCCTCAGCCAGTATTTTGCATCCATAACACCCCCTGGGAGAACCTTAATGCAAAGCTGGATAATTTCACCCAATTAGCCCTAACAATCCTCTCCCAAAAGTGTTAGTATCCAAAGTCCCCCCTCCCCCACACAGGCAGAAAGATTTCCACCCCAATAGGTTGTCCCTAATCCACATCTCACTAGTTTCCTGCTGCCTTTCTAAATCTTGGACCCCAGCCCCAAACCAACAGCTCTGCTGGCTAGATCAGTATTTAGAATCAAATCACAGACCCAGCTCCCCATTCACTCACTGGGATAAATAATTATAGCAAAGAAACATTTTATCAGTCATCCTACTCACCTAACTGGAAGCTCCAGTGGACAAAAAGCAAAACTGTTACCAGAGTCTTCATGTTTCCTTGCCAGCTGTCTTCTCACTAGCCCTCCTCGCCCATGTGATTGCCTTTTAAAGGAAGGTGATTTGGCTCCCTCCATTGGTGGTCAATTATTTGCCTAATCACAGCTTGTTCACCTGATGTAGTGTTAGTAAACACTCTCCCTGTGTGGGTCAGCTCCCAGCCTGTAATAGGGAGGATGCTTGCAAGTCACAGTTTATTCATCTGGTGGAAATCATTTAACTCAAATATATAACAGGACTGATGCAGCAAGCTAAGCCTTAAAGGGACACTCCAGGCACCCAGACTGCTTCTGCCCATTGGAGTGGTCTGTGTTCCAATTCCCACCACCCTTAACCCTGTGAAATATTTACCTTGCAGGATTAAGTCCTCCTCTAATGGCTTTCTACTAGACAGCCACTAGAGGGACTTCCGTGTTCTTCGAACACGAAAAGCGTTTTAAGCAACGCTGGACGTCCTCACGCTATGTGAGGACCTCCAGCGTCGCCAACATCCCCATAGGAAAGCATTGAATAATGCATCCCTATGGGGAGTTCTAATGCGCATGCGCAGACATTGCCGCGCATGCGCATTAGGGAGGAGACTAGGCAGAGAGTGGGTGGAGCCTGACCAGCACCGAGGGACATTCAGCAACTTGGGATGGGGGTGGGAGCGAGAGGGGCACTACAAGGTCCTGCAGTGCTAGGAAAACGAATATGTTTTGCTGGCACTGGAGAATCCCTTTCACTATTTCTCATTTTCCTACATGAACAGATAAATACATTGTAATTTCCAGATGGACAACCAAACCTATGGGCATCATGGCTGGTATTCTAATGATACCAAAGAACCCTGCCCTACCTGTGGCTGTAGGATGGGTACCAAAATATGATAAAAATGGGGAGGTATATAGTCCAGATTTAAATAAATTCAATTTAATTAATTTACCAAGTATTTTGGTCTCCGGAAAGATCTGGCGGATTTTGTACATTCAAAAAAATAAATATATTGTGTTGCTTTTTCCTTAAAGAAAATGCTAAACTGCTGTATTAAAGTAATGTTTTACAGTAACAAACATGTAACAAACAAGATGATCTCTCTAACAAAATCAAAGTATCAGCCTCACTTTGGCAACACGTCACACAAACCGTGATTTAAGTCAGGTACAGTATCAATAACTGTGTAACAGAGCAGGTACTTTGCAATTTAAAGAAAACGAAATCTTATTTTCTCTCCAGCACTGAGACTTCCTCGGCGCTGCCAATCACATCATCGTCTCTCACTGATGGTCAATCCAATGAACGAGCATTGGAGACTGATGTGCATGCGCTGTGAGTTGGTCAAAGAATTTGATTCAGTGCTCTCCTATGAGCTGCAACCTCATGTGACCAGGTTTCTCTTTCGTGGTCGAGGAAGAGCCTCAGGAAGACAGCCGCTACAGGTGTGTTTAAGACGTCTTCACATTAAACATGGCCATTTCTCCAAAACTGCAATGCTTTCTGTTGCACGGTTAAACATATAGGATCACAGCAGACAGCACCCAGTGAGATAAAGTGGCCTGGATGACTTTATTAGATAATACAATTTGTATTTAGCTCTTATTTAGCTCATTATTAGTAATGCATGTGTTTAATTATGCATTTTTTCAATGGAGTTATACTTAAAAACAGCTTGCAAATGCTGCAGATCTCTTGTCTGCAGCCTTTGCCGAGTCATAGATTGAAGGGTAAAAGTTACCAGGAGAGGTTAAAGGATCTTAACTTGTACAGCCAGGGCCGGTGCAAAGAGTTTTGACTACACAGGCAAAGATGCATTTTAACAGCCCCCCGACACACCCCCCCTTAAAAAAAATGCTTCTTTACCTGTGTGTCTTGTAACTCCCCTCTCCTCTTTAGTGTATTTTATCCCCCTTTACTATGTCTAACACCCCCTTGGGTGTCTCTTACAACCCCCCTTGTGTATCTGTTTCTTTCCCCAGCCCTGTTGTGTTTCTATTTCCTCCCCCCAGGGGCTGAGAGGGGTGGACAGGGACACATGGGTTGTAGTGGGGGGATAGGAGTTGAGAGGGTGTGGACAGGAGCTGGAGAGGGGGGTGGACAGGGGCTGTGGTGAGGAGGTGAGGCTTCCCTTGGGTCAGGGAGGGGTGAGACAGGAGCTGGAGCCTGCATCCAGCAGCCATTGAAGTCGGCCGGCCACTCCTGATGATGTCAGGAGGAGGGGTGTGACTTACATTGCTCTTCTCCCAGACTCCCCAGCGGTTGAATAATACGTTCCTATGGGAAGGTCTAATGCGCACGCGCGGCCTTTGATGCGCATTAGGTCTCCACCGCCAGCTGATGTCGGCGGGGGAGGAGCGTAGGCGGAGCCTGACCCAGCGCCGAGAGACATCGGCACTGGATTTAGGTAAGTCACTGAAGAGGTTTTAACCCCTTCAGATACATGGGATGAGGAGTGTGAGGGAGAGGGGCACTACAGGGTCCTGCAGTGCCAGGAAAACGGATATCCACATTTTATAATTGAAAAGCGCTGAGGAACATGTTGGCGCTATATAAATGATAATAATAAAAAATAATGATGTAAAGTAAATCTCACATTTAAGGCCACAGTAGCGGAACTGAAAGCATAGCTGGTTTTGAACAATGTTTCAGTTTGGCTATTCTGACCTTGAATTCTCACTTTAGTAAATAGCCCAGACACTTTATTCATATGGTGAACATCATAAAACCAAATATATAAGATGTGTTGTGCAATCAGCAAAACCTTACTTATTTCTTGTTTTCTCCCACGAACAGATAGACACATTGCAATTTCCAGTTCAGGGATAGGAAAACCCTTGGGCACCAAGCATGGCATTATAATGATACAGATGCCCCCTCTCCTACTCTCAGGCCCAGATTTGAAATATTTGTGTCTGATTTCAGCCTACCTGCAGCGTTCTGGTTGGCTGACACTCTGACCAAATTCCAGGCTGTACAGGGGCTGAATTGCAAAATCCAGACGACATGGTTAAACAGCGCAAACAATGTCCAGATTTTGTAGACTAAATGGTCCCATACACAGCCGGCAGGTTTGTTCCATTCGGTACACAGCCATTGAGACATTTGTGAATAACCCCACCAGTAAACAACACTAAACGCTTTATGTGCAGACAGCTTTATATAGGACTGATCTATCCAGGGTGCATCTGTGAATGAAATAATGGGTTTATATATACCCACAAATTATAGTTCATTGGTTATTGTTTTACATATGTCTACAAATCCAGTTGATGGAACACTCCAGGCACCATAACTGCAGTGGTTAGGGTGCCAGGAGAGCTATGGCACACCCTATTGATCACAGTATTCAGTGGAGCATCTGCACGGTGGGCACCAGAAAGAGTAGCGCAAGCTGTAGGACCAAATGCCCATTCTCGAGTGTTCCCAGATGCCCGTGGTAAAAAGAGATCTTGAAAGTTCATGTGACCTATTGAAGTCTGCACAGTAATCCTTACTGCACTCCGCGATCTAGAGGTTGCTCTGTGTCAAATGCATTATCCAAACACTACTCTGTGTCCCTGTGGAAAAATATTTGCTAGAAAGATTAACAATTAGGAGACAAAGAAGAAATCTCAAAAACACCCATAAGATTGTTTTTTATTTCTCTACAGAATATACTTACAAAACTTTATAAACAAAAACTAGAAACCTTGAAAATCTGTTTCATTGTTTGACCAGTTTTAGAATAGAAGATTTGAGAAGAGCCAATGAGAAAGGAAGGATGTTATGCCCAGACAGGAAACATGGGACTAGGCAGTGAATGGTAAGTGTACAGAGACACAGAATGTTACGGAGATCTGTCGTGATTAAGGAAGGCATACCATGCATGGAAGAAAATTCTGAAAAGCATAGAAAAATGAAGACAGGAGAGGACACGGAATGGTAAACTTTCAATGCAAAGGATGAAAAGTAACATCAACAAGCAACATTTTTACTGATTTTCAAGTAATTATAGCATAGAGACAGGTGAATGGTTGGCATTGTGCAAAAAGCAGAGCGTTAGTTCTCTGTGAAAGATGGAAGATTGTGTTTTGATCATCTTCATTTTGTCTGTGTTCCTCGAAATACAGACTGGATTTCATAAACTCAGAACAGTTTAGCGAACCACAGGGCAACCAGAACAGCTATTCCAGTGACAGCAGACAACCTGGGGGTGATAGCAGAGTTGCAGAGATCGTATATACAGCAAGAAGGAGTTGTTTTCACGGTTACACCAGTATATGTCTCAGAGGATTCAGTTGTACACTGAGTGGCAGTCGCACAACCTCTCTTCCTTAAGGTTATTCCAGCTGAAATAGAGACAAACTTTAATTCCAGAACATACTTGATAAGAGTTACAAAGTATACTTGAAGATCCCTTTTGGACTTCTTCTGATATTTTCCACCCTTCAAAGATATAGGAAACCCTCCTAAACAGATTTTTGTGTGTGTGTGGATCCCTTAACATGGACATTACCAGGGCCAGACTGGGAAAAAAAATTCAGCCCGGGAATTTAAAAGCAGAGCAGCCCAGTTGGAGGGGGCAGGGACAAAAAGTGGGCATTTCATGTCATCAATAATGACATGTCCGCCACCTCAAAGTGAGTATGTTACTTGGCTGTACCTCCAGGGCATTTCATGCACAGAGCCCTGCTGAAGAGCACTCACACCAATGCCCTGTGTTTATTTTACACAGCACAGCTCTGCAATTGCTGGTGACTTGTCTCTGGTGTCCCCAGAGAGATAACAGAGGACTAAAGTGAGGTGTGACCACCTGTGCGGGCCTCTGTGGCACTATATGGGGTTGGAGGCTGATTGTGAGATTGCGTGTGCATAGAAGTGACTGTTTGTGGTGGTGTGTGTGTGTGAACTATGTGTGGCTAGGGACTGTAATGTGTATATGTTTCCAATGGATGTAAAGTATGTGCGTCTAGGGTCTGTAGAGATTGTGTGTGTCTGTCTAGCGGTTGTAGAGAGAGAGAGAGAGAGCATGTGTGCTACTTCTGGAGGGTGTAGTGTGCCTGTATGTGTATCGGGACTGTTGTGTGTGTGTGTGTGTGGGTGTATCTAGGGGCTGTACAGTGTTACAGAAGCGGTAATATGTGTTTATATATATTGGGGCTGTAGTTTGTGTGAACAGGGTAATTTGTGTGTTCGGGGTAGTTTATGTTTGTATATGGGCTCTAGTGTGTGAGTCTAGGGGCTATAGAGAGTGTTTGTGAGTGTAGAGGGTAGTGTATGTGATTGTGATGTGACTATTAGCACAACACATTTAATACACTGCCCCTCTTCCCTCCTACTTTCCCTAAATTTAATACACCCCCCCTCTCCCTACCCCCAACAGCTACACTCCCTATCTCCCCCAGTTTCATATACTGCCCTTCCTCCCACCCCTCCCCCAATTCAATACACTGCCACCCCTCCCCCAATTCAATACACTGCTCTCCCTCCCCTGCTCCCCCAGTTAAATACACTGCTCTTCCTAACCCTCCCTTATTTAATACATCACCCCCTCTCCCTATCCCCAGTTTAATGCAATACTGGAAGGTCCCCCAGGCCCCTTTTACCCTACCTCACAGTGACCCATTGTTTTATCAGATCCTCCAGTTCCACGATCTTCTGTGCTCAAGCAGGCTATACTGTGAGCAAGAGGAAGGGGGAGCGGCTGGCTGCATTCAATATAGGGCCGCTGCTGCGCAGCTGCTGGATATGACATCACAAACTGTATGCGCATATCCAGCGGCAGGCGCGGACAAAGGTTTTGAGCTCTTGCGGCCACGGCTGGCCGCAGAAGCACGCGAATGGTCGTGGCCCCAGTTCACAGCAGTCCCAGGGCAGGCCAGTCCGGCCCTGGACATTACCTCCCTTCCTATCGTATCAACAGGTGAAATCATTAATTATCATAATTCCTATTGAATAACTGTTTATATCATTTAACTAATTATGAATCAGACTGCAACAATATGACTGTTTGTCCGGCCTGAATACCAGCATTGAGAATACTGCTCGTATTTGGAGCACATTCTTAATGACATACAGGGAGAGTAATGTCAATTCCTGCTCAGCTTGGTCCACGTCAGTCCAGCGTCCCCTTTCACACACATTTTGGGGTCGCAGGCATGATGTGGACCAATAAAATCACACGTAGTATTTAAACTCATCTTGCCCAAGCAGCAATGCCTATAACACAGCCTCAATACATACAATAAAAAACAAAGGAAAAAGTCACTTGCGCACTGTCCCAAATCCCATGCACATTGAAATAGCAAGGTATGATCAACCAGATTGGATCGTTTGTAAGAAAAAATAATAATGAAGTACAATTTACAAATAAAATAGCTAAAGAAAATTGTCAATAAACATTGTGATCTTTTGTGAAAAGATAAAGAATTTTATAACATGACAGGAGGCTTCGTATTTGCTTAAGTCTCTCTTTACTAGAACTCCACAGCAGCACAGAAAACAACCAATCAGAAAAAAGTTAGGTACTATAAAACTCCCCTCCCCATTGCATCATTGCCTCTTTCTTTGCTGCTCCGCAGTCAGTACAGGTCAGAGTACCACTGCCTCCTGCTTCTAGTGGGTGGCTTTGAGATTTTATTATGATTTATTTATGAATTATATGTACTATATTTTGTTATCATTTTATATGTTTATTATATATTTATTGTTTATATATTATATATATATATATATATATATATATATTGTTTAGTTATATATTATATATATTATTTTATTATATTTTATTATATTTAGTTTGTGGTTACTGTCCCTTTACTCCTCTTGGCTCCCCCTGTTGCTTTGGGGATGTTTGCCTTTTAGGGGGTGGTTTTTATGGGGGGTTCCTGGGGAGACCTTTCAGTTTGCCTTCCAACTGTTTTATATCCCCCACACCCCATTTTCTAGCGCCGCCTGTCTAGGGGCGCTCCACTCAGGTTTTCAGGAGACTAGCCGTTTGGCTGTCTCCTCTGATCCCCCGAGCTGCAGTATGAGCCTGCCGGCACCCGGGAATTCTCGCGGTGCTACGCGAGTACCTGGCGGCCGAATCCACTCACGCATGTGGCCGCCGCGGCCGGCTTCTTCATCTAAGACCCACGTGCAATACGACCAACTAGGGGGCCCCCTCCCACAGTGATCGGACATCGAGGTCCTTTCCCCACTCGGGTGCTGGCGCTGCACACGGCTCAGGCAGAGCCAGTCTGCCAGTTAGAGCAGGGATAACCACACGATGGTGTACTTCTAACTGGGGATTGCGTCTTACATGCTTGCACTTTTGTATTTCACAACTGGAGTTTAAGGCAATTCTTGTTTTACAGAGTCCAGTTGGAGTTAATAAACTAGGTTAAGTGAATGTTTTTATGTTGCACAATTTATCTGGTGTCCTTATGTCCAACCCCTGTGCTTCAATAAATATATGTTCCTAATTCATCTCTGGAGACAAAGATGAATCCTCTGTAATGTGATGTTCACTGTCTATGGCAGATATATAAAGCTATACAGCCCTGGCTCTGGCTCAAACTGGCATGGGAGACCAGTCTCTACTGACATTAATTCACCTTTATTAAGTTTCGGTGGCTAGTAGAGTTGGAAGGTGGTCCCTTCCAAGCTCAATGAGGGGTGCATTGAGTGGGTTATTGTTTAACCCTTTTTTTACTGAAATATACCATGGGTACAATACCCTTCAGGTGATATACTGACGGTGCATAATATTGATGAGGAAATCCCATACAGATCTGCAAGTTCAGGCGCAAACCAGCTCAATATTGACCACACTCTTGCCTACATTATAAATGTACTATCGGATGAGACAACTCAGCGGGTAGGTCATGAGGGAACGAAAGAACCTATTCTGTACTATTACGGAAGTGGTGGTGGACTACATCACCTGGTGACCCTGGCACGATCGGAGGAGCCACCTTCCACATCAAGAGTCGAGACAAGGTGGCAGTTTCCTATGACAGCTCTAAGTCAGCAAATGACCTTCGGCATTTACACCTACAGGAAAATGGCGGATAGTTCGGCTTGGCAGCTCAGGGACCGGCTACTAGGAAACAGGTTTGCAACCCCATGTACAATGGATCTATGAGCGGAGGGTGTCTTTCCGTATTTGGGATGCTTCGTCAGCTGGCATCTTCATCGATCCGTCTACTGTCACTTCTCGCAGTTGGAAGGTCCATTTAGGATTGCTCTAATAGCTCACGGAACAGGTACCAGTGAAACAAACAGCGTTGGATTTGTTGGCTGACCGTTAGAACAGCAAATACGAAGCCTCCTCTCATGTTATAAAATTGTAGATTATGATAGCTTTAGTGTACCTACAATCTTAATTTTAATAATGACAGGAGGCGAGTATTTCCCACCCTTTCGTATCCCTCCCTCGTTTAATTTTATAATAGGGGTTCATCAGGCACGTTTGCAACTCTATTGTCTCTGCTACCTGTCTTTGGTTTTTATGTCTGTTTTTTACATAATAAGGTTGGGATCCATACAGGTTACGGTAATTTTGATTGTTTCAGTGGGTACCTACATGTTTGTTCAGGGTACATTTAATTGGCTAACCAACCCATTCGATTCTGTTTTTTCTCTCGTTTCAGTTTACAGTCCAGCAACGCTATCTGGTTTGGCAGTTCACCTCGGAAGGTGGACATTGTCGTATTCATTATATCTAGGACTTCGTTTCTTCCCCATTATATTTTTTGCCTTTTGTTCTGTTTTGTCGCAGCTTGAAAGAGGAAATGATGCATGGGGAGGGGAGTTTTATAGTACCTAACTTTTCTCTGGTTGTTTTTCTGTGCTGCTGTGGAGTTCTAGTAAAGAGAGACTAAAGCAAATACTCGCCCCCTGTCATTAATAAAATTAAGATTATAGGTACACTAAAGCTAGCATAATCTACAATTATCAAACATATTGCCTGAGAAACTTTTCATGAATTTTAGAAGCGCACCCGATTTAAAAAATATTTTAACTCAAGGTAAAATCTGATCTTTGTTAAAGCATTTTCTGTGAGTTTTCTTTTACATGTGAATGATGACTATCACTTAAAAGGTTAGTGCACTTTCCAATGCTTACGATGAATTTACACGTAGGGACTTATTAACTAAGTGGTGTGTAAATCTTGCATAGCAGTAACACCATATTGCACTTCTTATAAGTATATTTTTGGTTACTGGGTATAACTGAAAAATAAGCTGGTTGTAGCCACTATATATAATATTATTTATTTAAAGCTACAGTGCACATTAATTTTGTAATAATTAAATTGAGTGTACTTGTGTGTCTTTGCACTGTACAAGGTTGCTGCTGTTGAGTTAAGTTATACTGTTTTATATTTTTATCTTTGTTTATAGAAGTGCCATTTATTAACTTTGTATCACGCGATTACCGGTACTTTAAAAATAAATTCAGTGAAAGGACTGGAGACATGATTTCCTTACCAACTGTGGAGGAATATGTCACACAGGACTCAAGAAGTCCGCACGTCACCTTAGATTTTATTAGGCAGGTTCCATAGTCACATTGATAGCATTCCAATGAATGACCTGCAAGAGAAAGTACAGGTTAGACATTACTGTATTGTGGAGGTAGACAGGAGGGATCTGCTTCAGTAAACACATGTGAAGTATAGGATATTGAGTTGGTTATTCATAGTATGCAGTCAGGACGCTCCAGATATATCGTTTCCTTACAGCAAAGTTCCAACATATACACAGGAGACTATCCCTTTACTCTTCTTTATCAAAACATAGATTTGTGTAATCTCAGCCAGTCTTAAATGTGACATATCCGGATGGATCAGAAGTGTGGGATGAGACTGTCTTTTACTAAGGTTTTGTTCAACATGGTTTGTAAATTGTGAGTGGACCGATTCTTTATTTTTATTAAGTTATGGTTAGTCTCAAAAGTGTGAAATTTCAGGAATTTAAAGGGATCTTAATATGGCTCAACAATAAACTCTAAATTGTGCTGTAAAATTTTTTTTTTTTTAGATTAAAGAAATATTTAGGATTAGGATTTAGGATTTAGGATTTCTGAAAAAAAAATGCATTAGATATTTTTCTATAAAGGAAAAAACAGAAGTACAGAATCAGCAGGATATACAGTCCAGTTGCAAAAATGCAACAACCTCCACCCACTCCCTCTTTAGTTTATTTTGCATCCTCTCCATTCAAAGTTGAAGTAACAATAAAGAAGTGGGGCAAAGATAATCTTACAAATGATGATAGGCAAGCGGTTAATGAGGTGCTTGCTCAGGGAAGCTTGCAGTCTAGGGGAGGTGATGCGCACAAACCCAGGAGGATGGGGATGAGATCAAAGGTGCAGACAACATCTAACCATACTGAGATAGAAGTTAAAGAAAGGTTTGCAGTGAGAGTGAAATGGACTGACGAAATCCTACGACATGAGAGACAGATTTAAAGAATAAACATTGGCCAGATATAGATCAGCTTGTCTAAATGGGAGTTTTAATCCCTTAAGGATGGTGGTAATTGTCCAACTTCTGAACCACAGCAAACCTAGAATTTGAATGCTGCTTGTTCCACTGCAATTTAATAGTTTATCGTTAAGGGCACCACCCATATATATTGCTTTCTTCTAATATCCTTTATGTATACCTAAGGCAACAATAAGTATGAATTTAATGTTATAAATGGAAACAAATATCACCTTGTTACATATCGAGTGTAACTAAAGAAAATAACTCAAAACACATTCACCCGATTGTAAATGCCTCATATATATCTAGGATCTAAATGATATTTTTGGTAATTAACAGTAACCCACTTAAACTAACTCTAAGTTTACACCTACCCTAACATTAATCCTACACTATCCCTAACACTAAAACAGCATTAACCCATATGTTATCCTAACACTAACCCTACCCCGAACCCAAAACGGTAGATATCCTATGCTGACTTCAGCACAGTGAATTCCTAGTTAAAACAGTAGAGAGAGGTCTTTGAGCTCCATCAACTGGGTGATTGCAGCATGAGAGGGAGATCTTCCTGTCATGCTGTAGCTCTGGCATGCTGACTCTACTGATCACACTGCGATCGGTGCTGGGCAGACAGTCTGATAAAGGAAGTGGGATTTATGGAGCCAATACAGGGAAGGTAGGGGGATTATTAGGTAGGCAATAAGTGCAAAGTGGGATATAAATTACAGAGAAGTGGAAAGAGACAAAGCCTAAGGAGAATCTGTGAATCTATTTTGGAAAGTAAGGGATGGTTATCTGGCAGGGTATATAACTGTAGGGATCGTGAGATAGGGGTGTGGGGAAATAATATACAACAGAACATGCTATCACTACAATTACAGTATCATCATTCCATTTAATAAGCCTAACCATGCATCTGAGTGGGGGATAGGAATAAGAGGGGTAAAAAACACCCAGTCATTTTTATTTTTAACATTTAAAAAAAAGACAACCACTACATTCATCTAATTTGAAAAACAATGCAATTCCAACAAGCAGAGGCAGAATATTCAAGGGAAAAAAATGCTCCCAGGATTAATCACAAAAGTGAGGGAAGGGAATTCAAAATAAAATTTAAATATTGCTTTGTGAGTATTTGTACTTTTTAACTTCATATTTAATTATAAGTATATGTATTCAAAATGTAGATGTCAGGTTGCTTAAATGGATTGAGAAAATATACGGCCCACGCGTTAATTTAAAAAAATCCAAAAACCCTTACACCCATGATACACACACGCACACACATACACACACGCACACACATACACACATACACACACACAAAAACGCACACACGCACACATATACACAAACGCACACACACATATACACACACACATATACACACATATACACACTCGCACACACATATACACACTCGCACACATACACACACACACACATACACACGTGCACACACACATCCCCACACACGCATATGATATCAGAGGCAAATGGTCACTAGATTTCCAAATGTGGCAAATTCAAACAGAAAATATAAGCAAGACAATTGCTGTTTAAGCCTGAAATTTGCCTGGTCTCAAATTGTTACATTTCAGAGTTTAGAGAATATCCCCCAAAGGGTCCAGCTGATACTGGCAATGCAACATACAGCATTCTTGCCTGTACAGGACTGAATATTTCCTTGTAGAATGCTGCTCCCCTCATTTCAGGGGATTCCATTTTTAATGATAAAACCATATCACAGTTACAGTGTTAGCATTCATTCACCCCACTTTTCTTATAATGACAGAGAATTAGATCAGACCCAGCTCCCCATTTACTGGGATATATAATGACACAGAATTAGATCAGACCCAGCTCCCCATTTACTGGGATATATAATGACACAGAATTAGATCAGACCCAGCTCCCCATTTACTGGGATATATAATGACACAGAATTAGATCAGACCCAGCTCCCCATTTACTGGGATATATAATGACACAGAATTAGATCAGACCCAGCTCCCCATTTACTGGGATATATAATGACACAGAATTAGATCAGACCCAGCTCCCCATTTACTGGGATATATAATGACACAGAATTAGATCAGACCCAGCTCCCCATTTACTGGGATATATAATGACACAGAATTAGATCAGACCCAGCTCCCCATTTACTGGGATATATAATGACACAGAATTAGATCAGACCCAGCTCCCCATTTACTGGGATATATAATGACACGGAATTAGATCAGATCCAGCTCCCCATTTACTGGGATATATAATGACACAGAATTAGATCAGACCCAGCTCCCCATTTACTGGGATATATAATGACACGGAATTAGATCAGACCCAGCTCCCCATTTACTGGGATATATAATGACACAGAATAGATCAGACCCAGCTCCCCATTTACTGGGATATATAATGACACAGAATTAGATCAGACCCAGCTCCCCATTTACTGGGATATATAATGACAGAATTAGATCAGACCCAGCCCCCCATTTACTGGGATATATAATGACACAGAATTAGATCAGACCCAGCTCCCCATTTACTGGGATATATAATGACAGAATTAGATCAGACCCAGCTCCCCATTTACTGGGATATATAATGACACAGAATTAGATCAGACCCCAGCTCCCCATTTACTGGGATATATAATGACACGGAATTAGATCAGACCCAGCCCCCCATTTACTGGGATATATAATGACACAGAATTAGATCAGACCCAGCTCCCCATTTACTGGGATATATAATGACACAGAATTAGATCAGACCCAGCTCCCCATTTACTGGGATATATAATGACACAGAATTAGATCAGACCCAGCTCCCCATTTACTGGGATATATAATGACACAGAATTAGATCAGACCCAGCTCCCCATTTGGATATATACCAGCCTCCAGCCATTTACTGGGATATATAATGACACAGGAATTAGATCAGACCCAGCTCCCCCATTTACTGGGATATATAATGACACAGAATTAGATCAGACCCAGCTCCCCATTTACTGGGATATATAATGACAGAATTAGATCAGACCCAGCTCCCCATTTACTGGGATATATAATGACACGGAATTAGATCAGACCCAGCTCCCCATTTACTGGGATATATAATGACACGGAATTAGATCAGACCCAGCTCCCCATTTACTGGGATATATAACACAGAATTAGATCAGACCTAGCCCCCATTTACTGGGATATATACGACACAGAATTAGATCAGACCCAGCTCCCATTTACTGGGATATATAATGACAGAATTAGACTAGACCCAGCCACCCCCATTTAAGAATATTAGACTGATCAGACCCAGTCTCTATTACTGGGATATATATAATGACACAGAATTAGATCAGACCCAGCTCCCCATTTACTGGGATATATAATGACACAGAATTAGATCAGATCCAGCTCCCCATTTACTGGGATATATAATGACACAGAATTAGATCAGATCCAGCTCCCCATTTACTGGGATATATAATGACACGGAATTAGATCAGACCCAGCTCCCCATTTACTGGGATATATAATGACACAGAATTAGATCAGACCCAGCTCCCCATTTACTGGGATATATAATGACACAGAATTAGATCAGATCCAGCTCCCCATTTACTGGGATATATAATGACACAGAATTAGATCAGACCCAGCTCCCCATTTACTGGGATATATAATGACACAGAATTAGATCAGACCCAGCTCCCCATTTACTGGGATATATAATGACACGGAATTAGATCAGACCCAGCTCCCCCTTTACTGGGATATATAATGACACAGAATTAGATCACAGACCCAGCTCCCCATTTACTGGGATATATAATGACATAGAATTAGATCAGACCCAGCTCCCCATTTACTGGGATATATAATGACATAGAATTAGATCAGACCCAGCTCCCCATTTACTGGGATATATAATGACACAGAATTAGATCAGACCCAGCTCCCCATTTACTGGGATATATAATGACATAGAATTAGATCAGACCCAGCCCCCCATTTACTGGGATATATAATGACACAGAATTAGATCAGATCCAGCTCCCCATTTACTGGGATATATAATGACACGGAATTAGATCAGACCCAGCTCCCCATTTACTGGGATATATAATGACACAGAATTAGATCAGACCCAGCTCCCCATTTACTGGGATATATAATGACACAGAATTAGATCAGACCCAGCTCCCCATTTACTGGGATATATAATGACACAGAATTAGATCAGACCCAGCTCCCCATTTACTGGGATATATAATGACACAGAATTAGATCAGACCCAGCTCCCCATTTACTGGGATATATAATGACAGGGAATTAGATCAGACCCCGCTCCCCATTTACGGGGATATATAATGACAAAGAATTAGATCAGACCCAGCTCCCCATTTACTGGGATATATAATGACACGGAATTAGATCAGACCCAGCTCCCCATTTACTGGGATATATAATGACACAGAATTAGATCAGACCCAGCTCCCCATTTACTGGGATATATAATGACACAGAATTAGATCAGACCCAGCTCCCCATTTACTGGGATATATAATGACACAGAATTAGATCAGACCCAGCTCCCCATTTACTGGGATATATAATGACACGGAATTAGATCAGACCCAGCTCCCCATTTACTGGGATATATAATGACAGAATTAGATCAGACCCAGCTCCCCATTTACTGGGATATATAATGACACAGAATTAGATCAGACCCAGCTCCCCATTTACTGGGATATATAATGACACAGAATTAGATCAGACCCAGCTCCCCATTTACTGGGATATATAATGACAGAATTAGATCAGACCCAGCCCCCCATTTACTGGGATATATAATGACACAGAATTAGATCAGACCCAGCTCCCCATTTACTGGGATATATAATGACACAGAATTAGATCAGACCCAGCTCCCCATTTACTGGGATATATAATGACACAGAATTAGATCAGACCCAGCTCCCCATTTACTGGGATATATAATGACACAGAATTAGATCAGACCCAGCTCCCCATTTACTGGGATATATAATGACAGAATTAGATCAGACCCAGCTCCCCATTTACTGGGATATATAATGACACAGAATTAGATCAGACCCAGCTCCCCATTTACTGGGATATATAATGACACAGAATTAGATCAGACCCAGCTCCCCATTTACTGGGATATATAATGACACAGAATTAGATCAGACCCAGCTCCCCATTTACTGGGATATATAATGACACAGAATTAGATCAGACCCAGCTCCCCATTTACTGGGATATATAATGACACAGAATTAGATCAGACCCAGCTCCCCATTTACTGGGATATATAATGACACAGAATTAGATCAGATCCAGCTCCCCATTTACTGGGATATATAATGACACAGAATTAGATCAGACCCAGCTCCCCATTTACTGGGATATATAATGACACAGAATTAGATCAGACCCAGCTCCCCATTTACTGGGATATATAATGACACAGAATTAGATCAGACCCAGCTCCCCATTTACTGGGATATATAATGACACGGAATTAGATCAGACCCAGCTCCCCATTTACTGGGATATATAATGACACAGAATTAGATCAGACCCAGCCCCCCATTTACTGGGATATATAATGACGGAGAATTAGATCAGACCCCAGCTCCCCATTTACTGGGATATATAATGACGGAGAATTAGATCAGATCCAGCTCCCCATTTACTGGGATATATAATAACACAGAATTAGATCAGACCCAGCTCCCCATTTACTGGGATATATAATGACACAGAATTAGATCAGACCCAGCTCCCCCTTTACTGGGATATATAATGACATAGAATTAGATCAGACCCCAGCTCCCCATTTACTGGGATATATAATGACAGAATTAGATCAGACCCAGCTCCCCATTTACTGGGATATATAATAACACAGAATTAGATCAGACCCAGCTCCCCATTTACTGGGATATATAATGACACAGAATTAGATCAGACCCAGCCCCCCATTTACTGGGATATATAATGACACAGAATTAGATCAGACCCAGCTCCCCATTTACTGGGATATATAATAATAGATCAGACCCAGCTCCCCATTTACTGGGATATATAATGACACAGAATTAGATCAGACCCAGCTCCCCCATTTACTGGGATATATAATGACACAGAATTAGATCAGACCCAGCTCCCCATTTACTGGGATATATAATGACACAGAATTAGATCAGACCCAGCTCCCCATTTACTGGGATATATAATGACACAGAATTAGATCAGACCCAGCTCCCCATTTACTGGGATATATAATGACACAGAATTAGATCAGACCCAGCTCCCCATTTACTGGGATATATAATGACACAGAATTAGATCAGACCCAGCCCCCCATTTACTGGGATATATAATGACACAGAATTAGATCAGACCCAGCTCCCCATTTACTGGGATATATAATGACGGAGAATTAGATCAGACCCCAGCTCCCCATTTACTGGGATATATAATGACACAGAATTAGATCAGACCCAGCTCCCCATTTACTGGGATATATAATGACACAGAATTAGATCAGACCCAGCTCCCCATTTACTGGGATATATAATGACACGGAATTAGATCAGACCCAGCTCCCCATTTACAGGGATATATAATGACACAGAATTAGATCAGACCCAGATCAGACCCAGCTCCCCATTTACTGGGATATATAACGACACAGAATTAGATCAGACCCAGCTCCCCATTTACTGGGATATATAACGACACAGAATTAGATCAGACCCAGCTCCCCATTTACTGGGATATATAATGACAGAATTAGATCAGACCCAGCTCCCCCTTTACTGGGATATATAATGACACGGAATTAGATCAGACCCAGCTCCCCATTTACTGGGATATATAATGACACAGAATTAGATCAGACCCAGCTCCCCATTTACTGGGATATATAATGACACAGAATTAGATCAGACCCCAGCTCCCCATTTGCCTACAGGATATGTAATGACACAGAATTAGATCAGACCCAGCTCCCATTTTGCACAGGATGTGTGACTGACACAGGGAGGAGGGGAATTAGATCAGACCCAGCTCCCCATTTACTGGGATATATAATGACACAGAATTAGATCAGACCCAGCTCCCCCTTTACTGGGATATATAATGACATAGAATTAGATCAGACCCCAGCTCCCCATTTACTGGGATATATAATGACAGAATTAGATCAGACCCAGCTCCCCATTTACTGGGATATATAATAACACAGAATTAGATCAGACCCAGCTCCCCATTTACTGGGATATATAATGACACAGAATTAGATCAGACCCAGCTCCCCATTTACTGGGATATATAATGACGGAGAATTAGATCAGACCCAGCTCCCCATTTACTGGGATATATAATGACAGAATTAGATCAGACCCAGCTCCCCATTTACTGGGATATATAATGACACAGAATTAGATCAGACCCCGCTCCCCATTTACTGGGATATATAATGACACAGAATTAGATCAGACCCAGCTCCCCATTTACTGGGATATATAATGACACAGAATTAGATCAGACCCAGCTCCCCCTTTACTGGGATATATAATAACACAGAATTAGATCAGACCCCGCTCCCCATTTACTGGGATATATAATGACACAGAATTAGATCAGACCCAGCTCCCCATTTACTGGGATATATAATGACACGGAATTAGATCAGACCCAGCCCCCCATTTACTGGGATATATAATGACACAGAATTAGATCAGATCCAGCTCCCCATTTACTGGGATATATAATGACACAGCATTAGATCAGACCCAGCTCCCCATTTACTGGGATATATAATGACACAGAATTAGATCAGACCCAGCTCCCCATTTACTGGGATATATAATGACAGAATTAGATCAGACCCAGCTCCCCATTTACTGGGATATATAATGACACGGAATTAGATCACAGACCCAGCTCCCCATTTACTGGGATATATAATAACACAGAATTAGATCAGACCCAGCTCCCCATTTACTGGGATATATAATGACACAGAATTAGATCAGACCCAGCTCCCCATTTACTGGGATATATAATGACACAGAATTAGATCAGACCCAGCTCCCCATTTACTGGGATATATAATGACACGGAATTAGATCAGACCCAGCCCCCCATTTACTGGGATATATAATGACACAGAATTAGATCAGACCCAGCTCCCATTTACTGGGATATATAATGACACAAATTAGATCAGACCCAACCCCCATTTACTAGGATATATAATGACACAGAATTAGATCAGATCCAGCTCCCATTGCACTGGGATATATAATGACACAGAAATTAGATCAGACCCAGCTCCCCATTTACTGGGATATATAATGACCAGATTAGATCAGACCCAGCTCATTACTGGGATATATAATGACCGCGAATTAGATCAGACCCAGCTCCCCATTTACTGGGATATATAATATTTTAGGGGTAGATCAGACCCAGCTCCCCATTTACTGGGATATATAATGACACGGAATTAGATCAGACTCAGCTCCCCATTTACTGGGATATATAATGACACAGAATTAGATCAGACCCAGCTCCCCATTTACTGGGATATATAATGACACAGAATTAGATCAGACCCAGCTCCCCATTTACTGGGATATATAATGACACAGAATTAGATCAGATCCAGCTCCCCATTTACTGGGATATATAATGACAGAATTAGATCAGATCCAGCTCCCCATTTACTGGGATATATAATGACACAGAATTAGATCAGATCCAGCTCCCCATTTACTGGGATATATAATGACACAGAATTAGATCAGACCCAGCTCCCCATTTACTGGGATATATAATGACACGGAATTAGATCAGACCCAGCCCCCCATTTACTGGGATATATAATGACAGAATTAGATCAGACCCAGCTCCCCATTTACTGGGATATATAACGACACAGAATTAGATCAGACCCAGCTCCCCATTTACTGGGATATATAATGACACAGAATTAGATCAGACCCAGCTCCCCATTTACTGGGATATATAATGACACAGAATTAGATCAGACCCAGCACCCCATTTACTGGGATATATAATGACACAGAATTAGATCAGACCCAGCTCCCCATTTACTGGGATATATAATGACACAGAATTAGATCAGACCCAGCTCCCCATTTACTGGGATATATAATGACACGGAATTAGATCAGACCCAGCTCCCCATTTACTGGGATATATAATAACACAGAATTAGATCAGACCCAGCTCCCCATTTACTGGGATATATAATGACACAGAATTAGATCAGACCCAGCTCCCCATTTACTGGGATATATAATGACAGAATTAGATCAGACCCAGCTCCCCATTTACTGGAATATATAATGACACGGAATTAGATCAGACCCCAGCTCCCCATTTACTGGGATATATAATGACACGGAATTAGATCAGACCCAGCTCCCCTCATTTACTGGGATATATAATGACACAGAATTAGATCAGACCCAGCTCCCCATTTACTGGGATATATAATGACACAGAATAAGATCAGACCCAGCTCCCCATTTACTGGGATATATAATGACACAGAATTAGATCAGACCCAGCTCCCCATTTACTGGGATATATAATGACACAGAATTAGATCAGATCCAGCTCCCCATTTACTGGGATATATAATAACACAGAATTAGATCAGACCCAGCTCCCCATTTACTGGGATATATAATGACACAGAATTAGATCAGACCCAGCTCCCCATTTACTGGGATATATAATGACACAGAATTAGATCAGACCCAGCTCCCCATTTACTGGGATATATAATGACACAGAATTAGATCAGACCCAGCTCCCCATTTACTGGGATATATAATGACACAGAATTAGATCAGACCCAGCTCCCCATTTACTGGGATATATAATGACACAGAATTAGATCAGACCCAGCTCCCCATTTACTGGGATATATAATGACACAGAATTAGATCAGATCCAGCTCCCCATTTACTGGGATATATAATGACACAGAATTAGATCAGACCCAGCTCCCCATTTACTGGGATATATAATGACACAGAATTAGATCAGACCCCAGCTCCCCATTTACTGGGATATATAATGACACGGAATTAGATCAGGTAGAGTTTTTCATTCATTCTACTCACCTAAGTGGAAGCTCAAGAGGACAAAAAACAAGCCTGTTATTACAGTCTTCATGTTTCCTTGCTCTGATAATCCTATGTTCTTTCTCCTTCCAGGCTCTCTCCTCAGTAACCCTCCCGGCTCAGGTGGCATCCTTTTAAATGTATGTGATTTTGCTCCCCCTACTGGTAGTCTTGTATTTACATAATCACTAATATTGTGGGAAAATTCATTTCAGTCAGTTTGTCTGAATCACATTTTAGAGTATAAATAAAGGTGATAGCGCACAGGTGGTTATTGTAAGTCACAGCAAAGCGACTATATTTGTAGAAATCTGTTAAAAGAAACAGAAAAGTAACATAGCGTACACTGTAAAATGTTGTATCCGCATAGAAGATATATTGGACACTCACAGATTAAAGAGCCCTCAAGGTTGGCTCTGAACACTGTTGGTATTTTCAACACTTTCAGGTTGATGTGGTGTATTGTACTTTCTCAATATGTTCCCTCTGGATACAGGATCAGAATTCAGAGGGAACAGTGTTTGTGACTAAGTGGCTACTAAAAAGACTGGACATACCCTGTTTGCAATACCTTGGGTTGTCTACTATTGCAAATGGTATGCCATCATAGGGGTAATTTTCATTCTTGGGCTACCATAGGGTCTCAAAGGCACCATAGCCAATCTGGTGAATTTCAATGTGAAAAAACTAAAAAGCAAGCCTTATATTTGACTCTGTAACTTTTAAAAATGCCATAAAACCTGTACATAAGGGGTACTGTTATACTCGGGAGACTTCGCTGAACACAAATATTTGTGTTTCAAAATAGCAAAATGTATCACAACAATAATATCATCAGTGAAAGTGCCGTTTGTGTGTGAAAAATGCAAAAAACTTCACTTTCACTGACGATATCATCATTGTAATACATATTACTGTTTTGAAACACTAATATTTGTGTTCAGCGAAGTCTCCCAAGTAAAACAGTACCCCCCATGTACAGGTTTTATGGTGTCTTGGAAAGTTATAGGGTTAAATATAGAGCTAGCAAATTAAATTCCCTGGACTTTCGGCATGGGTTGTCAGGCAGGTCCCGCAAATTGTAATTAATAAAACTAATTATGTAAAAATATTTCATAAATATATACGTAGAATTAATATATATATATATATATATATATATATAAATCTTAAAAATTATTTTTATTTATATATAGGTATCTATATAGTGATATTTACGTATATACTTATGTATATAGATATATATATATATTATTTCATTCTATGTGTATTTTGATATCTATATATATATATTAATTCTATATATATATATATCTATCCAAAATAGGCAGGAGCACTTACTTGTTAAAAATCCATCAACGTTTCAGTCCTGCATAGAGGAATTTCATCAGGATCAAGACAAATGGATTAGAAACAATCATTACACAACAATATCGACACAATTAACTTACCCCCAGGTGAAAAGCTGTGTGAAACAGGCGTCCTGCCGTTCCCAGTACTTGTACTTATTGCCCTATAACTTTCTAAAAAAGCTAAGAACATGTTAACAACTCAGGACAAAATTTAGAAACTATTTAGCACAGATGTTTTTTGGTGGTTGTAGATGCGTAACAGATTTTGGGGGTCAAACTTAGAAAAAGTGTGGGTTTTGAAAAAAATTTTATGATATTTTATAATTTTTTTATAGTAAATTATATGATATGATAAAAATAAAGGTATCTTTAGAAAGACCCTTTAAAGGCGAAAAAACGATATATAATATGTGTGGGTACAGTAAATCAGTAAGAGGAAAATTACAGCTAAACACAAACACCGCAGAAATGTTAAAACAGCCCTGGTCCTTAACGGTAAGAAAATTGAAAACCTGTCTGGTCACTAAGGGGTTATAATTGATTTTAAAATTCTTTTTTTTTGCATTGTGTATTTTATCAATTAAAGCATTCCCAGTAACGTGCTAAATCAGAAAAACTTGAGGTCAAATGTGCGTGAGAGAGATGTTTCATTCAGCAGTATTCAGTGTTAAAGTGAACCTGTCAAGGCATGTTATGGCACTGAATATATCTAACACACTAATAATTTAACTGTCACTTCCAGAGGAGTTTTATTGCAATATTTACTGGGGTGATTAATGTAGAGAAGTTAAGTAAAGAACGCACTTAATCTCATTAAAGCTTTAATTAAGGTTTGGTTTATTTTTGGCTGCCCACCAGCCTCATGTTTCAGGTGTGTGTCGACAGGGCTTGAGTTCCGCAGGAATGTGTGAGAACGGCGTTCCTGCACTTTTTTTAGAGTAGGAATGCCGTTCCCGTTTGTGGTCCTGCAGGAACTCAGGGGGCGGCAAAAAATGCCGCCCCCAAATTCCCTCCATGCTCCCCTGTGTCCTCTCTAATCTGCTCCCTCGCGCGCCGTTTGCTGATGCAGGGAGCCGGAATATGTTGTCATATTCCAGCTCCCTGCATCAGTAGACAGCCTGCGCGGCGAGAGGAAGCAGAGAGATCACAGCTCCCTTGCCGCATCTGACAGGCACCAGCCCCACTGGACTCCAGGGACAGGTCCACGCCAGGTCTCTTTAAAAAATGTGAATAATTTGTGTGTATGTGTGTGTCTGAGTGTGTTTGTGTGTGTCTGTTAGTGAGTGTGTGTGTGTGTCTGTGAGTGTATGTGTCTGTGAGTGTATGTGTATGTGTGTGTGTGTGTGTGCACCTGAGTTTGTGTGTCTCTGTGAGTGTGTGTGTGTCTGTGAGGGTATGTATGTGTGTGTATCTGTGTGTTTGTCTGTGTGTGCGTGTGTCTGTGAGTGTATGTATGTGTGTCTGTGAGTGTCTGTGAGTGTCTTTGTGTGTGCGTGTGTGTGTGTGTGTGTGCACCTGAGTGTGTGTGTATATGTGTGCACCTGTCAGTGTGTGTGCATGCATTTATATATGCATATGAGTGTAATTTTTTTTGGGGGGGTGGAACGTGGGTGAGTTCACACGCTTTATTTCCCAGGACTTGACCCCTGTGTGTCGACTTATCTTTTGGTGCGTTTTTACAAATTTAGCAGCACTTATATGGACTGATGTACTGTCATGTATGAATATGTTGTTCAATAAAGCATTACTTTTCAAGGAAACTGCAGTAAATATTCAGTCTGATGTTATATGAGTGTGGCCCTAATTTATGCCTTATTTACAACACAAATATTGACTCACTGTCCCATTATGTCTGCATAACTGGGGATGAGGGCGTAATACTTTATGTGTTTTGGAGGGACTGGGAGGGAGGGAATGAGACACATGGGGAGGCAATTTTCGCACCAGGGTCCGGTGGTTTCTACTTATGCCTCTGTACTATATATAAATAAAGGTACATACAACTAAAATGTAATTTAGAAGAAGAACAATGTATCTTATTTACACAGACTGATTTTTAAACAAATTTATTGTAGTTTAAAGACCTAGTACTGTGGAGCTCTGTTACACACTCAGACACAGCAACAATACAGAGCTCCTAGAAAAGAGGGACCTTAGGATAGAAAACAGAAACTGGGGAATTTAGGCCCAAAATAGGGACTGATCCTTCTAAATAGGGACACTTGGGTACTGTTGTTTTAGAATTTGACATTGTCACCAAAACCAGCAGTGCATTTTCAGCATTTGAGCTCTAGATCTGCCCTTGCTATCATCCAGAATATAGGACCGTGTTTGTTCCAAAACCTGCATCATTTCCTCTGAAACGGTCTCATTCTCTCAGGTCTTATTGTGGAAAATACACTCCTATTTTCTAAGCAGCATCTGCATCCAAACTGTCCAATGAGTGCTAGACTAAACCACCCCCCAGGGCTCTCAGGTTTGGAAGGAAATTGACTTAAATGATCACTATAGTGTCAGGAAAACAAACTCGTTTTCCTGACACTATATAATCCTTAGGTCCCTCCCACCCTCAGGATCCCTCTCCCGTTGGGCTGAAGGGGTTAAAACTTACCTTTATCCAGCGCCGATGGTGACCTCTCCTCCCCCGCCGACGTCAGTGGAGCGGAATGCACATGCACGGAAAGAGCCACGCGTGCATTCAAACAGTCCATATGAAAGCATTTCTCAATGCTTTCCTATGGACGTTCTGCACGCTGAATGCCATTTTCGCATCCAGCGTCACAGAAGCACCTCTAGCGAATGTCAGGAAGAGGCTGGATTAACCCTGCATTGTAAACATAGCAGTTTCTCTGAAACTGCTATGTCTACATCTGAAGGGTTAAAACATGGGGGACCTGGCACTCAGACCACTTCTTTGAGCTGAAGTGGTCTGGGTGACTATAGTGTCCCTTTAATGATAGGAAGGTGTTGTTTCTGCATTATGTGTGGCTCTACTGGGTCACAGACTATGGATGCTAGGAGAGCTCCGATTATTTGTCAACCTGTTTGATAAATTAAACGATTCCCAAAGATTTTATCATCACAACCAATGCAACCAGCTGTAGTAGATAAGGTGCTTAGAGTGTCCCTAATAACCAAAGAATGAATTGCTTTTATTTCACAATGTGGATTGCCCTGTTTAAATCAAATGTTTTTCCTAAATGATTGATTGACATAGATCGTGGCATTGAAACATACAGTAGTTGAGTTACAGAATAATTCTCTCCATTTTGTCTTAACGTGCAATACTTCTCCCAAGGGGGGCGGGGCCGGGCCGCCGAGCTGGATGGCAGCCATGAGCTTTAGCTCCGTCCTAAGATACCCCAAAATCGACATAAAAAGCGGTCGTGCAGCAACCTAAAGGGGACACCCCGGCAATTAAGAGGTGGTACACGCACCCTGCTCCAGAGAGACACCCGTATGGGACCGACCACGCACCAAGAGAGCAGAAAGTGGGCAACCACAGCTGCACGTGGCAGGAGCCTGGAAAGGCGAAGTGGCCCGGTGGGGCGGTCGTGGAAAGAGAGGCCTGAACCCGATGCTAAACGGACGGACCCGGCCGGCGACGTGGCCCCGCTCCCCCCCCAGGCCGGTGGGGGTTATCCCGGCCACATGGTGGCGACCTCCGCGGCGACAGAGGCCCCCGCGGGTCAATCACCTACACTGGCAAAGTTTCCACAGGAATAGCCAGCCAGCAGATAAGGGCAGACAGAATACAGGCAAGCACGAAAAGGCCTACCTACCTCTGTGTGGAGGCTTCTGTATGCGGCTCGAGGGGCCCAGACGGCTGTCGGCTCACGGACGGACGCCCCAGATGGCCTGCCCCCTGGTGGCGATACTGGACCCTGCATCTGGGTTTCTGGGTGGCCCGGAGAAGGATGTCCCTGGCGCAGTGAGCCCTGTGGGGCCAGAAGGCACTAAACCCCTCCGGTATACCGGTGGCCGTGAGGGAGGAGGCGCATCGGCTCTAAGTGTGTGGCCTGTACTGGGTGAGACACGTGGGACCAGGAGTCATCTGGCAGCGCAAGTGATGCAGGGGAGGTGCAGGGGACAGCAGGTGCTGGGACTTTTGTGGGGGGTCTCATGGACTGGCCTGGACCCCGAGTGCCCACGGCATCACGGAGCGCTCCGCGGGGGACTGAGTCCTGAGGGAGGACAGATGGACGACCGGCGTCCTAAAGGACCTCACCGATCCGATATGCAGATAGCTTACCGCTCCATAATTCAGCTCAACATACACCGCTGAAAATTCCGGGACTTTTCCTATAAGCAAGCTCACATGCAATTCTGGACACATGAGAAGTTCCTCACATAAGCTTAGAAATACATAAAGATTACTTAGGGGCTTTTATTCATGTTCATAGTTAATGCCGTTTAAACGCGAACAAGTTTTCAATAGATAGCTTGCACTTGTGTCTTAACAGCTGCATTCAGTTCGTATCTATTCGCTTATATGATTCTGTTTTTGAATTACCAAAGGAATGTGCGGTTAATGCTAAAATGCCCATAGGGGCCAAAGGTAGATACTGCTGCATATCTGATCACTGACTGCCGCATGTTTGACGGTACAGTCGCTTATTGCTGTAAACCTGATATACAAATAGCTCTATTATCTATTAAGACAGCAGACTGCAAACACATATGCTCCATATGCTGACAGTTGAAAAAGTTTATGTAGCTTAAATTGTTGTTTAATGCCTGACTCTAATTAGCAAGCTGAGTAATTTTCGCTTATTACGGTAAACCTGATATCCAAATAGCTCTGTTATCTATTAAGGCAGCAGACTGCAAACAAATATGCTCCTTATGCTGAAAGTTGAAAAAGTTTTTGTATCTTAGATAGTTGCTCAATGCCTGACCCTACTTAGTAAGCTGATTAAACTGCCTCTGCATAGGAGACAATGTGCACTCACCAACTAGCAAACGCGCAGCACTGACATACTCTAGTTAACATAAAACACTTACTTAATGCTATAATTGAACTAATAAGGCAACACGGTACATAAGAGCATAAAACACAAAGCAACCACCAGTGTACAAAAACACAGGCTAGGACAATTCCGCCTCTACGCAGGCAACCAAATGTATATGCAGTGTTAAACTAATATTTGAGCCCCTGCGTGGGCAATCACTTGCTTTACCACAAACCCATCTGATGTATGACTTTATATTGTGCACACAATAAAAATATTCAAAACAATACTTCTCCCAATTCTTGTTCTCCCAGTTCTTGCGAATTCTCATTAATTTGGGTTATGCAAATAGCCCTGGATATGTTTAAAGACAAAACGTGCATGAAAACAGTGTACTGTCATCATATACAGAAACTCTGTGCTTACATTAAATATATCAGATTCTTTACATGTATTAACAAGCAGTTTACAAACTGTTCATACCACTTCTTATCTGTATATCGGGTTACAAAGTATAAATACTGACTTTTATTTTTTTATTTTTTTTAAATAAATTATATAAATAATTAAGCGCGTTAATATTTATTTTAGTAACAGCTATAAATCAGATATTTTTTATCAGGTTGATAGGATCTTTGGAATAGGGCTGTATAGAGTTTTCAGGGTTTACAGTATCCTGGTGGGGAACAAATAAAATACTTTCGAAAGAATTTATTGCAGATAAACTTCAGAGCTCTTGTATAATAATGCAAAAGCAGTGACATTGTTTAAAAGAAATCAAAGTAGTGTGAGTCTACTTTGAATGTTCACAGAGAACGTGTTGAAGTCAATATCAAGAAACCTGCCTGAATTTTCCATGCTACAAGTCAAGATAATGTTAGTGGAGAGTGGCCTTTACCTTTTAGTTTAGCTTCAAGGGCAACGTATCTTGCATGAGGTAGCTAATCTATACAACTTCGTATTGTAATGGCCAAGGTTGATAAATCCAGGGTGGCGCTGTTCTGGCAGGTGACCAAACAGGATGGAGCAAGGCCGACGTAGTGGAATGATCAGAGACAAAGTCAGGATACAAAAAAGTAAGTGTGACACTTTTTTTTAACTATTTTTGCTAAGATGTCTAAAATAGCTGCACTGTCTGCTGTAGAATGATTGGGCCACAGAAACAAGATCTGCCCAATTTAGACTGAAGGAGCAGAGCAAACAATTAAGGTACACAATGGTATCTACAAATGGAAGTGTTCCTGAAGACAGAATTGAAATGTTTTTATGACCATGGTATCCAGTCGTGCAGCCACCACATTCATTAAACATGCCATTTATCGTGTATATAAATAACAATTTATTTAAATTTCCAGATACTGCAACATGTGGACGTCCCATTGTGCACCCTAACTGTTCCTTGGATTCTTCTGTGTTGAGTTGGATGAATCACTGATGGTTAGCACTGTTAGAATGTCATAGTTTAAAAGGTTTCTCTGTACAAGTCTAAATTTAGTCCAACAATTGACAATATAGAGCAGATACGTCTTACCGGACCTTAGAATGGCCGGAATCGACGTAGAGCAGAGAAAGACAGAGCCAGGAACTACCCGAGGTCAAGGGTACCAAGTGCACCTGAACCCCAGGTTCCTTTACCCGAGCGATTTTCAGGAGGATGGATTAAGTATGACATTTTTATGATGTCCTGAGGGTTATTATTTACTTTGAAACCACTCACCTATGATAGTGACTTTATAAAAGTTCACTCTATGATTTCTCTACTCTCAGGAGAATCCATAACCTGGGTCCGTCCTCTCCTTCGCAAGCAAAGCCCTCTTCTGAACAGCTGGGGTTCTTTCAAGCTGACCATGGACTCCCTCTATGAGGAATAATATCCATATAAGTTGTTTTCCTTGGGCTATCCAGTTTGTTATTCGTTTAATTAATAAAGACTTTAAGTAGTGACTTGCCTTGTCCTATTCTCTGCATAATGAGCCCATCCACCCCAAACCTGTGACACACTGAGCACATTAGAGATTTTAACCTCTGGATCTTTTCCTATGACTTATGATTACTGAGTCATAACGGACATTCGTGTTAGCTCATTAAACAGGAATGTAGCCAAAGCCTTTTTTTCCTTCAGATTTCCTGAATAAAGTTTATGTTATCCTTAGGCTATGGTTGGAACTTAGTATTACCCTGCTAACTAAGTAACTACTAATCAAACAGTTAATAAACAATGACACAATAACTCTGTAACCATGAATAATATTCCACCTGGGATTAAATCAAGATCACTGAGCTGCATTCTATTACCTGGGTTAGCTGATTGTTTATGTAAAATTTCTTTAATATTACCATTACTAGCAGGCAATTTAACTAATACTTTGTGGTTTGCTGGATCATTGACTTGACATGGTGCCATATTGTTCAACTTTATGTAACAAACTGAAAGCATACATTAATTAAAATGCATATGGAAGGTTCCACCTATGTTACTGATAAATACTCTCACTTTATATGCACACGTGTAATCCCTTCCTTATATATACACACGCCCTTCTCTAAACACAAACACTCTCCCTTTTTGAAACATTCACACAATGTTTTCTATTATTTATGGAGGCACACACTCATTTTATTTATGAATATATACATGAGTTATTACCCACACCCTTTGCACATTTCCACATTTTGTAGTGCTACAACCTAAAAGTAAAATCGATTTTCTTAGCGTTGTTCAAACAGGCTACATTTAACATTTTGACAATGCTAAATATTTGTTATTGTGACACAAAAGTTATTAAAACAAAAAAATGTATATTCATTGGTTACCAAAGCATTTATTTACATGTCAGTACTTGGTTGAATCATCTTTACGTGTGATTTCAGCCATGAGCCTGTGGGGTAAATCTTCTCCTGATTTACACATTTGAAACCTGCAATTTCTGTTCATTTTTCGTGGCTGCTCTGCCAGCCTAGTTGGAGGTTGCTGAAGAATAGTAATATTCAGACTTTCTCGAGATTCTCAGTCCAGAAAGACTTGGGTTCACAGCCTTGGCTACATTTTTAAGACAATGAGGTTCTTGGTTCTAAAACTCTATGGTATATCGTTGGCTGTTTTTAGGGACATTATCCTGATGGGAGATGGACCTCTGCCTAGTGTCTATTCTAGACTGCCACACGTTCCTACAAATTTGCACCCTACTTGCCACCATTCATCTAGCCGTCAATCCTGACCATCTTCCCAGTTGTTGATGCTGAGAATGATCCCCATAACATAATGCTTTACTAGGGTGATGAGCTGAGCTGGCTTTGTGGCATAAAAATGTTACATTTCTGTCTCATCAAACCACAGAACCATTTCCACAAGTTTGTACTACATTCCTTTTGGCAGACTCCAAGCAGGTTTTGATAAAGGTTATATTTAGCAATGGCCTGCTGACAGAAATAAATAGCTTTTCTGGTTAATTTCCTTGTTATCTGGTGGATGGTGGGTGGCATTCTTTAGGCAGAGACATGTTTGCTCCAAATTGTGTTGTACAAGTTTTGGTACAACACAATTTTGTACAATTGTACCAATTGTTCAAAATTTGTGATACTTTTTTTTTTTTTTATAACCCAACCCTGACTAATGATCCTACAGAACTTTATCTAGGACTTGTATTGATAACTACTTTGTCTTTATGATGCTATTTGTTTTATTTATTTATTTTTAGATATGCACTCTAATAAACTGTATGGCCTTCCAGAAACAGGTATATTTACTTTGAGGTCAAGTGAGACATTATGTGTCATGTACCCCTGGTTTGTGTGCCTTGGACCCTCTAGGCTTGCAGTGGTTAGTCATTTTTTGGCCGGTCTAGTGTCGTAGGACTTGATATTTTGATCTCTGAATATATATTTCTTACACACACAAACATGCACACACACTTTCTCACCTGTATAGATACATACACACCCAGAAACACGTACTCTCTGTTTCACAAATATATTCACTCAGGCATTCCTACTTACATGGATATACTCTTTGTTTATCACCATCTCTCTTTCCCTCAGATAATTATTATTATCATTATTATAATTATTATTTATATAGCGCCAACTAATTTCACAGCGCTTTACAATATTATGAAAGGAGAAAATTTTTTACAATAAATGAGACAATTCAACAGTGACAGTGACACAGGAACAATAGGTAGATGAGGGCCTGCTCAAGTGAGTTTACAGCGATGCCAACATACAAATATTTCATATACATACATATGTATACACACCCCTTTTTTCTCTCTGCCTTATACACAGACACACAAATTCCCGATCAGTCTTGCACAAGTTTAAGCTGAGTTATAATTAAAAGCAGATTGAACGCCAACTGTGCCAACACAACAACTGCACCTTTAGAGGGAGGAGAAGTAAATATGTCGAGAATGTTTTTAAGAAAACAAGAAAGAACCTTTTATTCATGGACACATAATTTTTGTTATAAGTAACAGCCGTTACTTATTTCCAGCTTTGTGAAGCACGGCCATTGACGAAACGGAATCCCATTGGCTGGAATTCATCGTACATGGCTGGCACTTACACTTTCCTCCAGCTGACATTATGCTGGGACTCTGATTACATGAAAATTCTTTCTGTGTATGAATAGCAATAGGTCCAACGGTGTGTGACCATGTGAATGTTTAACTCATCAATACAAACTTTAAAGGGATACTATGAAGCCAGGAATATAAAGCTGTATTCCTGGCACTATCGCTCCACCTGCCTCTCCCCTCTCTTACGCCCCCCCCCTCCTTATCCCAGTAGATAAAGGGTTCAAACCCCTTTGTTTACTTACCTGATCCCAGTGCTTATTTTCTAGCTCTGCCCCCTCCGACATCCTGCAACGAGCAGATGCTAATGCACATGCGCAGAAAATACTGTGTGCACATTAGACCTTCCCATAGGAAAGCATTGAATCAATACTTTCCTATGGGGGAAAATCTGCTGCTGGAGGCCCTCATGCACAGCATGAGGACGTCCAGCGTCAGATACCGGACCAAAGGTCTGTTTCGATTCAGGAAGCCCTTTAGTGGCTGTCTGGTAGACAACCACTGGAGGCAGACTTAGAGCTGCAATGTGAAGTAAGAATTCTCTGGAACTGTAATGCTTAACATTGCAGCACTAAGTGCAAAAGGGACAGTGCACCCAGACTACTTCACTACTTCCCTTTAACCTTCAGCTCATTTTCAAAATGATGTGCACTTTTAGTGTTAATCATGTTAGGAGTACTTTAACTTTATACTTTATATCACCATTCTCAGTGATCTATCGTCCTGCTTAAATGTTCTGTGAAAACATCATTCAAAACCTTGAAAAAGCTGGATAATACATGTTGCTGTCATCTGGTGACTACAATGAATCCAAATGGCTATGTGGAGTAACAAAATCACTATATATCCCTATATATATAATACAAATTCATGGAGCTCCTGATTTGACTCCAACCTCTCCTTCACCCCCATATCCAATCAATCACCAAATCCTATCACTTCCATCTCAAAAACATAGCGCGCATTCGCCCCTATTTAACCCCAGATGCAGCTAAGGTGCTCTTTCATGCTCTTGTTCTCTCTCGCCTTCACTTTTGCAATACCCTTCTCAGTGGTCTTACATGTTCCCAGATTGCACCGCTGCAATCTATAATGAATGCAGCAGCGAGGCTCATTTTCCTGCACCTCCCATGCCTCCCCACTCTGTCAGTGCCTGCACTGGCTTCCAGTTAGATATAGGGCTCAATTTAAAATTTTGGTGCTTGCTTACAAGTCCCTACATAATGCTGCTCCAATCTACCTATCCTCCCTAATACACAAGTATGTCCCGTCGAGGCCCCTACGCTCTGCCAAAGACCTACATATATCCTCTGTTCATACTCCCACCTCTAATGCTCACCTCCAAGATTTCCCCAGGGCTGCACCTCTTCTGTTGAACTCCCTTCCCTTCTCCGTAACACTTTCACCCAGTCTCCACTCATTCAAAAAATCATTGAAAACTCACTTCTTCAAGAAAGCATATCAGTTAAACTGTAAGCAGGTTTTTTATCTCTCACCCCCCACGACTCCTCTCCTGCAACTGTCAAAATTACCTACTAAGCCCTCAGTGAATAATTTTCTATCAACCTACTTCGTACCCCAACTTCTACCCTTTGTGTCACTAAACCCCACTCCCTCTAGAATGTAACCTCATTGAGCAGGGCCCTCCACCTCTCTGTTCCTGTACGTCCAGTTGTCTGGTTAAAATTACATGTCGGGGGGTGTGGCCTGACCTCGGATGGAGTGAGACGCACGGTGCCTGTGCTCCTAGGCCCTGTATAGCCCGTGATAATTAGCATCCAGACAAGTTCAAATTCTGCTATAATGGGGAAAACTAAGCGAGCTCTAAGTTCTGGGCAGCCCGGTGGGGCCCTGCTACGGTCCGAAACCGGCCCGATGGATGATTACCTTGCTGGGCCGCGGGGCCTGTCGGACGCCATTGACACGTCAATTCCCGCCTCACCCGGCTCAAGCATTGCTGGCTCATCCCGTGGCACCAGTGAGCCGGCGGCCCTGTCCCAAATCTCGCTAGATATAGCCGCTATCTCTTCCAGCATGCTCACCAGGCGAGATAAATCTGAAATGGTGGCCAAGCTGCGGGCGGTGATCAGGGAGGAGATTGCCGCTGTGCGTGCGGATCTCACTGCCCTGGAGCACCGCGTGGACGCCTTGGACGCTGAGCGCCTTCAGAACTCCCATCGGCAGCAAGCTGCAGAACTGGCGACCACCAGGCAGGGGAACCTACTCCTAGATCTATGTCGTCAGGTCGAAGACCTCGACAATAGAGGTAGGCGGAACAACATTAGGATCCGGGGTTACCGGAGGCTGAAGGGGAGCTGCCACACGAACTGCTCACCGGCTTGTTCTCGCACCTGCTGGGGGAGGCGGCACCAGATGACTTCGGCATTGAGAGGGCGCATAGAGCTCTGCGGGCGCCCCGGCGTGATGGGCTGCCGAGGGACTTGATCTGCGCCCTGGCGTCCTTCCCGCTCAAGGAAGAGTTGATGAAAGCCGCGCGCTCCCGCCCCGATCTTCGCTATATGGATGCCCCGGTTGCCCTGTATCATGATCTGTCGCAGACCACCTTGGATGCCCGGCGGGCCTTGCGGCCGCTTACCCGCCTGCTTCAGGAAAGAAGAATCCCATACAAGTGGGGCTTCCCCTTTAGCCTGCAGGCCCGGGTGGGCAACATGTGGCATGTGCTCCAGTGGCCCAATGATGTCCCCCGGTTTCTGCGGAATACTGGCCTCCCTCATATCGCCATCCCGAATTGGATCCTGGGGGGGCCCCCGGCTCGAGCGGTAGGCCCAGAAGAGGCTGCACATAACCTTCATCTGGATCCGGAGCCACCACGTCGCAGAGGAGGGCCGAACGGCCCAGAAGAGTAGCTGTAGTGGCGGACACCCGGGGGGCTGCCGGATCAGTCGGGTCTCCCATTGGACCTCAGCCCCTTATTGGCGGGACTTTTGGCTGCCCGGTTGTGAAGTCTGGGCCTCCCTGACCGGGGTAGGTACTTTTTATGGAAGTTAGTTGAGCGGCGGAGGGCATGCAGTTAGGTGGGGTGGAGGGGGTTCCACGGGTCCGGGGACAATGGGGGACAGATTCCGGGTGGGATCCACCGCAGGTTGGGAGGGCAGGGAGGTATGAGCTGGACTGGGCTGGGGGACTGTAAGGGTTGGTGGGGTCTGGCAGAAGAAGATGGCTCTCGGGGACAAATGTGTATTCTTTTTTTTTTTCCTTTCCTCCTCTTCTTCTCTCTGCCTGTAGTAGGGGGGTCTCAGGGGTGCTTCTGCCTAGCTGGGCTGCCTTGGGGGAGGTTTGGGGAGGTTGAGGCGCCACCTCTCGGCGGCTCTCATCTCAATTTCTTTACACGCTTGGGTTAACCATGGCGGCTGCTCCCGCTGAGTCAGGGGTATATTGGGCTGGGAGCAAGGAGGGGCTTTGGACCTGGTGCGGGGCAGGCTGATGCGAGAGGTGGAGGGCGGCCGGGGTCTAGATGGGGAGGAGAGGGAACGAGGGATGGGGATGTCTCTTGTAGTACACTCGGGAGGGGGGTGAAAGGGACCCGCACCACGGCAATCCCCATATCAGGCAGCGGGATGAGGTTAGCTCGGGAGTTTCAGTAACACATAAAGGGGGGCCCCTCCCCTCCCGCAGGCAGGCTCCAGGCGTGAATTAGGCGCCCTACCCTTAAGCCGTCGCTAAGTCTCCAGTTGGGTGAGTGGGCGTCCCTGGGGGGCCCGGGGCGGTGAAGAGACTCTCAGAGGGGGGCAGGGGGCTAGAGGTGGGAGTCCTCTTAGCTAAACTTATTTCTGACAAAAGGGTGGGGGACGGGGACCCGAGACAAATTAGTGGCCCCTGATGGGCGCGGGCTGGAGTCGGGTAGGGGGTACATACAAACTGGCCCCACGCGGGTTGTTAGGGGAGTTGGTTCACATGGTTTCCTCCAGTTATTTTATGGTTTAGCATCTGGATACTCGCATGTATGACACACAGGGGGAGGGCCGACAGACACTGGGGCAGTTACAACCACTACATCCTACGGACACGCCAAGACAGTAAAGGGTCTTTTTGTTCCCTACTGTGACAGACCCTCACTGTAAATAGAGCTGTGGTTCCTCACGCGGGCATAATATTCCCGGGGGAGGGCTATACACTCCGGCTCAGGGTCGACGTTGCCCACAGAGGGCGGTGAGACTACTACCTACTGTTAACTGTACCGGACTCTCCCACATTTTCATTCGCTCACACGTCCACCTGTGCCGGGGGCGGGGTTGCCCCACCGTTGCAGCAATGGCGCCCGGTCGGGGCTTCGTTCCAGCGCGGCTGACCTACTGGTCTAATAACGTTCATGGGCTTAACATGCCTGAAAAACGATCACAGTTGCTGCGGCAGCTCTGGGCTGCAAAAGCATCCGTGGCGTTTTTGCAAGAGACGCACTTCAAAGGGGGAGATTCGCCTAAACTGGAGAATCGGCGATTCCCGCTGGGATTTTACGCTAACCACCCAACTGCCAAAAAGGCGGGGGTGGCTATACTTTTCGCTCAGACGACGCCTTTCCTCCACTTGGCGTCCCAATTGGATCCGATGGGGAGATACCTATTCTTAAAGGGCACCATAGCGGACCATGCGTATACCTTCGTTTGCATATATTGCCCAAATAGGGGTCAGCACACCTTCCTCTCCCGGACATTGGCTAAATTGGAGAGATTCCGAGAGGGCCTTTTGGTCCTGGCGGCGACCTCAATGTCCCTCTGGACCCCCGGCTGGATACATCCAGGGGAAGGACTGTGGTCTCGGATACCAGTATCCGGCTGTCCCGACGCGCCCTGCACAAAATTGGATTGGTAGACTGTTGGAGGGCTTGCAACCCGGAGGGGAGGGACTATACCCACTACTCTGCAGCGCACGCACAATACAGCCGCATCGATTATATCTTTCTGGCACAAGAATTTTTAAACCTCTTGCAAGGAGCGGAAATAGGCATCATAAGCCACTCGGATCATGCACCGGTCCTGGTTCATACCAGTTCTCCGCTATTTAAGCCCCGTGAACGACAATGGAAGCTCAATGAAACTATGCTGGATGACTTGGCACTCATGCAGTCAGCGACCAGCGCCCTGACCGATTATTTTAACACCAACGACAACTCTGATACGACACCTTTAGGACTTTGGGAGGCGCACAAATGCGTCATTCGGGGCTTCTTTATCTCTGAGAGCACCAGGCGCAAAAAGGACAGACGGGCTCGCATTACCAACTTGACAACGCGCATCGCAGAACTTGAAGGAACTCATAAGCAGTCTCTAGATGAGGGCACTTACCTCCAACTTGTTGAGGCACGTAGGGACTTGCAAACGACGCTGACGCAGGGGTTGCTGCTCACCGCGAGGAAGGGCTCTAGGTTCTTCTATGAACACTCCAATAAGTGCGGGAGACTGTTAGCTCGGATGCTGCGCGAAAAGCGCAGAATGCTACATGTCCATAAAATACGCACGGGGAGGGGGGATACTACATGCCTCCCCAATGGCATACTGGCAGCGTTCCAGGAGTACTATGCGGCACTGTACGACCAAACGCAACACCGCACAGCATCAGAGGAGCGACAACACAAGGAGAGGATAGTGGTGTACCTACAAGCCCTACACGCAGACTCACCCCGGAGCAGGAGGCGGAACTGGAGGCCCCCTTGTCGGTGGAGGAACTCGCTGCAGCGCTGAAGGCCACCAAGGCTCATAGGGCTCCGGGGCCGGACGGTTTACCAGCCTCTTATTTACGGACGTTCAGAGATATCCTCCTACCCCGCCTGGTCGCGGGGCTGAATTCCTTGCGGGAGGACGGTCGATTCCATGAAGATACGTTGAGGGCAACGGTTACGATTCTCCCAAAGGAGGGCAAAGACCCCATGGACTGTGCCAGTTACAGACCAATTTCATTGCTTAATGCGGACCTTAAAGTGTTTGCTAAAGCACTGGCACTTCGGATGGCCAGGATTTTGCCGGAGCTCGTTCATCCGGATCAGGTCGGTTTCATAGGGATAATACCATACGGGCCCTCAACTCTATCCACGTAGCTCGAACCAATGGGAAGGAGATGGTTCTCCTTTCCACTGACGCCGAGAAGGCGTTCGATAGAGTGGACTGGACTTACCTGCAGGAGACCCTGGGGTACATGGGTTTTGGACCGGGTCTAAGGTCATGGGTTGCTGCGCTGTACACCAAACCGACGGCGCGTATACGGGTGAATGGAGCACTCACGGGTGTGTTCAAAATTTGCAATGGCACGCGCCAGGGCTGCCCGCTGTCCCCCCTCCTGTTTGCCCTCACCCTGGAGCCCTTCCTGGAGGCGGTTAGACGGGACGGGGGCATAGCGGGGTGCCTGGTAGGGGGGGAGGAGCATCGGGTGGCGGCATACGCCGATGACATGCTCTTCCTCCTCGAACAGCCAAGAATCTCCTTACCGAATTTACTAGAGGCTTTCCGACTCTATGGCGCAGTTTCCAATCTAAAGCTCAATCTGGCCAAGTCGGAACTGATGCCCCTCACACGAGACCCGGCCCTTTGTAGACACATCCAGGCGCATTTCCCCTTCCGGATTTGTTTGTCTAAATTGCGGTACCTAGGCATCTGGCTACCGTGTGACCTAGCTCAAGCTTATTCCATGAACCATGTCCCATTACTCACAGCCCTACAACAAGATATGAAGCGCTGGGCCCCTCAATATATATCCTGGTTCGGACGCATAAATGCCATTAAAATGAATGTCATGCCCCGTATATTGTACCTGTTTCAAACGATCCCGGTCACGGTCCCGCGGAACTTCTTCCAAACGTTGTCGTCCGCCTTTAAGCAGTTCGTATGGAACCAGAAACCCGCCCGCATACGGCAATCGATCCTGGAGCGCCCTAGATGTGAGGGAGGCATGGGCTTGCCTTCAGTCCTCACTTACTACCGGGCTACACATCTGTCTCGGTTTGTGGATTGGCATGCAGCCCCTAGCTGGAAACAGTGGGTAGACATGGAAAAGCAACAGGCGGGGGGAGGTAAAATCCCGTCCCAGTTGTGGCTAGGGGATGCCACGATTCGGGAACTTCGAACGGGCAACCCGTTGGTGGATGCAACTCTGAAGGTATGGTGCGGCATCCGGTACTCTCAACAACTAACGTCATCGCCGAATCCACTTATGCCCGTGACGCATAACCCGAGACTTGCGGGGGGACTCTCCCCGGGGGATCTGAGGAACTTTGGGGCCACGGATTATACATATCTGCATCAATGGTGTAATGGACCGACCCTTAAACCGCTGGCCGATCTACTCCAAGACCGTGGACCCAGCGTCCTGGACAACTTTCGGTACCACCAGCTTACAACCTATGTAACCTCGTTGGCTGGGAAGGCTCACCTTCACCGCCCACTGACCCACTTCGAACAACTTTGTGTCGCCAGACAGCATCTCATACATGGCAT